GGGACACATAACTGAGAGTGCGCCTTTTAGTCCGGTGCGCCTTATGGTCGTGAAAATACGGTAAATCTTCCAGTCTCAGACTGTAACATTGGAGGATTTTTAGATAAAATCTGCCAGGAACCCTCAGTTACTGATGATGTTTTGTAGATGAACCGTTTAGCTTTTGTAACTTAGGTCTGTTGATTCCATGATTGATCTTATAGGTCATGGAGGAGGCTGGGGTTACTCGGCTCACTCTGTGGAGGCCATCCGTTTCTGCGCTGATGCTGACATCCTGCTTGGGGGACTGGGGCTGTTCGGCGGACGAGGGGAATACACAGCCAAGATCAAGGTGAGGATTCCTGAAAAATGCTCTATTACTTTTGATTAAATCTGGTTTTAGATGTATCGAAACTGAGTGATATACCGTCGGAGCTCATTTTGCACAAGTAGAAATGTTTTTATTGGATTTAATATAACTCTTACTTTTAGAAAAAGAATAAACTGAGATGAAATTTGCAGCTTTTTGAGTTGGGACCTGATGGAGGCGACCATGAGACGGATGGTGATCTGCTCGCTGAGACTGATGTTCTGGCTTATGACTGTGCAGCCAGGTACAGATGTTTCCCCTTATGTCCTTTATGGTGTTTTTTCTGTAAAGACATGATGCCCTCTACTTTCTTGCTTGCCTTTGATGGATGATGATTTTGTTTTGTTTTTTTAGGGAGAAGTATGCCATGATGTTTGATGAGCCTGTGCTGCTGCAGCTCGGCTGGTGGTACGTGGCATGGGCCAGAGTTTCGGGTCCCAGCAGCGACTGCGGTTCCCACGGACAGGCAACCATCACTACTGATGACGGGTGAGAAATTACATGCAATCAAGTCAACAAAACTGTCTATCTTTTTTGATTAAGTTTGTGAAATTTAGTGTTAAATACCATTTTAAATATTTTCTTTTTTCTTTTTTAGTGTGGTCTTTCAGTTCAAAAGCTCCAAAAAATCCAACAATGGTACTGATGTTAATGCGGGCCAGATTCCTCAGCTTCTTTACAGGCAAGTAAATGTCTCTACAATCTGTGGGAAGTTAATTAAACAAGCATTTTTATAGCCTTTAAATTTATCCACATGTGGTCATATTTTAACCGTAGAAAGTAGGATAAAAAAATCTGACAAGTGTGGTGTGCATTAAGGGACAGAAAGCTTTTCTCAGAGCGTACAGTCCACCCCAGGGGAAATCTTTTGCAACTTTTTTTTCCCAGTACTGGTCTATACTTAGCTCCTTCCATGTTTCCATTTATTGTGACATTGCAATCTCTCCCTGAAGAAAAAAGTAATATGTATATAATGGCCGAAACCACATCTAATCACGCCTCTTGGGCAAATGACGTGCTGAGGACAATAGACAGGCCCCGCTTGGACTATATATGTGTCTGTCATTAACGCCATTACTCAGTTCAATAGCCGCTTTTCCCGGAACCCAGCTGAGGAGCGGGACAGAGATGCGTTGTACTTTGTTCCTCCCCCTTCAGGGAACAGTAGTTATATACATAACATTACATTCCCTCTCCATGTCTTGTTCCATGAAGATGTCAGCTCTGACACAAAGTCTTGGAATGTGGTTGGGTGTTTTTTTAATTATGGCCATCTCCGCTGGGAGATAAAGCCCCGCAAATCAGAAGGAGGTGAAGAGGGCCACTCCACGTCCAGCTGCACGACGGTATAGAGAGAAAAAGGATTTATTTTCCTGGTTCACAGGCGCAGCAGCGGCAGCAGCCTCATCCGACGAAGACCATTCCTTGTCCTTTGACAGATCTCGGAAGTCTATGCGGCATCTTCATTGTCAGCTAACCCATATACTCTATCTGGTCTGCCCAGCTTGGAGCAGGGACATCAACTGAAATGTTGTCTTGTCAGAAGCAGATTAAATTGGGTTTCCCAGCTCAGAGAACAGTGGGTCTTGCCGTGAAAAAGGAGTCTCTCCCCGCACTTATCCAAGAACTTAATCCATTTCTCCAGGGTAGAGCGACGAAGCTGGCGACAGAACACACATGCTTTGGGCTCCTCCAAAGCTCTCCGAGCATGAACAATCCCTAGACACAAGGGACAGGCTTAATGCCAGTCCTCGTTGTCAAGTGAGATGCTGCAGCCTTGAGGACAGAGGCAATGGAAGAGTTCTGTTTTGTGTTTTTTCTCTTTGTGCTCTTCCTGAACCACAAAGTGAGATGGTTATATTTGCCTTGCGGGCAAGCTTACTTACTGGCAGGCAGCAATGGCTAACTCCAACAAAAGCTGTTAAATTAAGTTTAAGTAGCCTCACAAAACAGAGTTAGTCAACAGCAGCTAGCTAGCCCGAATCCAACAGGTGTTTTTAGTGAAGTGAAGAGTGTATGAACTGAGTAATGGTGCTAATGATGGACACATGTAGTCCAAGCAGTGCCCGTCTTGTCATCGTCACGTAATTTGCCTAGAAGGCATGATTAGAGGTTTCTTCAGCCAGAATACACAGGGGCGGGTTACCCTCATACTCATGTGTTGTACTGAGTGACCGATCATCTGCAAAGCCTGATGCTGCCACCAACATTGATCACACAACAGCCTCAAAATGATGTGAATCATTAGTTATCTGACACTCACTGCGTTCTGCACTTAAGCCAACATGTACAATTCAGGTTCCAACTTTTTCAAGGATCTATATTAGCCTTTAGATTTGTTAGATGAATAATTTTGCTTTTAATTGTTAGGCTTCCCTCCAATGATGGCAACGCCTCTAAAGGAAAACAGCAGACCAGTGAACCAGTCCATATCCTCAAACGCTCATTTGCTCGTACGGTCTCCGTGGTGAGTGTTCCACTTTGTCTTTAGGCTTTTTGGGGATGTTTTCATGACTCTGTTTGACTGTAACTTTGCTTGTAGGAATGTTTTGAGTCTCTTTTGAGTGTTCTTCACTGGAGCTGGACCACATTGGTGTTGGGAGTTGAGGAGCTTCGTGGGCTGAAGGGTTTCCAATACACAGCCACACTTCTGGACTTGGAGAGGCTCCGCTTCGTTGGCACCTGCTGCCTCCGCCTGCTCAGGGTCTACATCTGTGAGATATTCCCCATTGCAGGTAGGAACACCTCGGCAGAATATGAAAGTTGATTCAAGTATTACACAGGTCTGGATATAGACAATAAAGTATAGAAATATATTTATTCATTTTATTATTCCTAATTTAAATGGATAGAGTTTGTAGAGTTGTAGATTTGCAGCATCTATAAGCAACAAAGACATCAAAAGTGTGATGCGACATGTAGTGTTCCTATATTCAGGTTTTGTTAAAGAAAAAAAGATATATGTATACAGAATGTTTATTACATGAATAATAATGCTCTTTTCCTGTTTGATTTGCAGCCAGCACCAAAGCTGTGGTGGAGGAGTCAAGCAAGCTGGCCGAGTGTGTGGGAAAGACACGCAGCCTGCTGAAGAAGATCCTGTCAGAAGGCATGGACAACTGCCTGACTAAGCTGGACAATGACCCTCAGGGCTACCTGTCTCAGCCTCTTACCTTGCTGGAAGCCGTGCTGCAGGAGTGCCACAACACATTCACTGCTTGCTTTCACTCCTTCTACCCAACTCCAGCCCTGCAGTGGGCTTGTCTTTGTGATCTGCTCAACTGTTTAGACCAGGTAGGGGGAATGAATTCTACCTAGGTGCAGCTAAAATGTCTGTCACCCAAAAAGAAAGAAAATTATGTATTATTTTCTATTTGGTCATTCAGGACATCGCTGAGGCAAATTTTCGCACATCCAGCAGCCGTCTGTTAGCAGCTGTTATGTCAGCTCTTTGCAACACTTCAGTCAAGCTGACGTCCATCTTGCCTATCGCATACGATGGAGAAGTGCTGCTGCGTTCACTGGTGAAACAAGTCAGCACTGAGAATGACTCTGCCCTCGCTCATCGGTTCCCTCTGCTGGTGGCCCATATGGAGAAACTGAGTCATGTAGGTTTTCACCAGTCTGTTGCACCAACATTGATAACATTTTTCACTGCTGCTGACTCATTACTTAGGCAATAATTTTTCGATGAGCTTAAAGCAGATTTTAACTATCAGCGTTCCTACACGGTCTGCAAAAAGATGAAATCTGTGTTGATCACTTTTTTGGATTTTCGCTAAATAAAAATTAGATGAGCAACTATAGAACACTGTTAAACTATTTAAGTAGATCTTATTTTATTTTGTTGCCGTTACTGTGAATTTTTAGGGCTGAAAATACCTTTTATTTTGTTAATTTCTTAATTCCTTTTCTATTTTATGAGTTAATTGATTTAATCTTAAAACAAAACTAGCTTAATAGGACATTTTTAATTCACAGAATTTGATCTCAGTGAAGCAAAACTACAGCAGCTGAGTTCTGATTGAAGCATTTTTACTGAGAATGAAGGGTTTTAATCTCAAATACAAAATATTTAGATATTTTTTGTGTACATTTTTGCCTTGGGTATTGCTGAGTTGTTTTTTTCTTTCAACAGATGGGATGTTTTATAGTCTGTATATTCCAGTTAATAATTCTTCTATTACTAAATCACTAACAAATACAATCTATTGCTTGAATCCTATATTGTACTTTATTCAAAGTCCAGATTTTCATTTTGATAAGAGAAATTGCAGCTTAAGGTTTATTTTTTTTTACTTTTTTTGTGTTTTAACTTATTTATGGGTGGGACAAATATTTGCATGCTCAAATCAAAAATATCTTTTGGCCTTTCTAAGCCTAAATATAATCTAGGATCAGGTGCTCAACTTGACCCATTGGCTCTCCAACTTTTTCACTTAATTCATGTTCTTTTAAGACTTAAGTTATTGTCTGACCAAAGTCTCTGAGGTTCTCTAATGGATGTAATTTGGGGATTCATGTTTTAGACGGAGGAGAACCTGATGGGTATGACCAGCTTCCGGGAAGTTCTGGAGAAGATGCTGGTGATCGTGGTGCTGCCGGTGAGGAAGACTTTAAGGAAGGAAGTCGAGCTGTTCTCCCCTCACTTGGTCTCCAATACCTGCGGGCTGCTGGCCTCCATCGTGTCTGAACTCACTGCTTCAGCCATGGGCTCAGAGGTAGCTTCTCAGTCCCTTCATTTAGAGCTGCAAAACAACATGAACAACAGGATTGCAACTTCATTTACTACTTCTTTACTCTTTAGGAGCATAAAGACAGTGTCATTCCTTCTGCTTTAAGTGTTGTTTAATATGCTCTATTTACTTATTTAATTATCTAAATCTTCCATTGGAGGTGGATTAAAATAATTTAAAATGAGACTCAGACTTTCATCCCTGAGTTTGTAACCCATCCTTTACTATTTTATTTCATTTAGCTGTCAGTAAAGTAGCTTTAGGAGAAGCTGGTGGGTCGTTTCTCCTTGTTTATGAAAAGAGCAACAAACTGCAGGGCAGTGGGGGGGCACTCTGTTGTCCTTCATCGTATGCTGAGTCACTGGGTAGGAGATGCTAGACGTTTCTTCCCTATTATTATCATCAAAGGCTGCAGTTAGGACTCCTGTTGCCATGGCAATGTCACTTGACAGCAGCCCCCCACACAGTGCTGTTTTCCTCCTTAGTCTGTTGTCAGGGAAACAGCATTTTCCTCCCTGGTGTTCCTGATGAGGTCTCAGCAGTTGTGTCTGGCCCATCAGGAGGGGAAAAAATAGCAACTTATTTTTTTTCATGAAAAATGTTGAGAGAAAAAAAGATTCACAGCTTTCTTTAAATCTGTCACAGGTCAGAGATTGGTTGTTTTTTTTATGCTTGTTATTGTTTTCCTCTGACCTTCTTAAACTAGTTTTAGCCCAATCTGAAATTTATGTAAAAGGTGTAATTAAGAGCAATCAGATAATTCCTTCTTATCCTTTCTATCAGTAACTATAGTTCATTATTTATGTTACCTTCATGGCAGATTTCACTCCTGTGCTAGATTCTAAAATGATTGAGTTGATATTTTAAATTAGCCAGCTATCTCTTAATTCACTGGATTGCTGACTGGCCGTGCACGGTGCTTTGAAGTCGCCAGCCGCCATATTGGTACTCCCTGGTTAGACCGGTCGCAATGTAAACAAGGCCAATCATTGTCTATAGCATCGAACAATGATGATGTTTTCATTTTCAGGGAGAATTAAGTCTTTTAAAACACAGATGAAGTTATCATTTTGACAGAGACTTCCTGTTTCATAACATCTGTAGATTACTTTAGTTCATGGTAAAACTAGGCACATCACATTACATATTCAGTATGAAGTCCATGAAGTCTATAAATCATGTAATATAGCATATACAAATCTGTCACAACAAAATCAGTGTGTTAATGGAGCATAAAGTTACGTTAATCAGAAATCAAGAATATTACACATGGACACACACTATCTGATGTGCCAGAGGTGCTAATTTGATTATGTAAATGTAATATACATGTATTGATAACATTGTTATGGTAATTACATTAGAGATTTTTGAGTGCCTTCATTTTTTTCGTTCTATCAGCAATCCAGGGAATAGAGATCGGTGGTGTTAGCCATTAGTACCGGTAGCATTAGTAGCTAACCAATGATAGCCAAGTTAGAACAACATGAGCGGTTTTCTGATTTTTTTTTTTTTTTTGCTGCTGCATTGCTCATAAGCATCAAAATTACACAACTCAAGGGTACAATTCAAAATATTCAGAACAATAAAGATGAAAAAAAAATGTTGGTTTTGTTGGAGATTTTTTGTTAAATTAATTTTTTTTAATGTACATTTATTATATTTATTGCATATTTAATAACCAGTCATTGAAGACAAATGAAGCAAAATAGAGAAATATGTCATATAATCTAAATAAAATACTAGGTAAAAAGACCTTAACAATATCAGATATTGAACCTTTTTTTTATTTATTTTTTATGCTGATATATTTGGATTGCTTTCTCACTCTATGCTTGCTTTGTTAGGTCGATGGGCTAAACTCGCTGCACTCAGTGAAAGCCTCTCCAAACCGCTTCACTAAAACCAGCCAAGGGCGCAGCTGGAACACGGGCAACGGCTCCCCAGACGCCATCTGTCTGACAGTGGACAAGCCAGGTGTTGTGCTGGTAGGGGTCTGCGTCTACGGCGGAGGGGGCATCCATGAGTATGAGCTGGAGGTGCTGGCTGATGATGTAAGAGCTCATAAATCTTCTCTGCTTAGATTAGTTTTTCATTACTCACTTTTGTGCTGTTGCTTGGCTAGTTCTCAAAAAGATTTTTTTAGCTTTGGTTGACGTGTCCTTCAGGCTCAGACGGAACATCCAGGCGACTCAGCACATTCTCACAGGTGGACGTCTTTAGAGCTGGTGAAGGGCACCTACAGCACTGACGACTCTCCTAGTGATATTGCAGAGATTCGTCTGGACAAGGCGGTGCCACTAAAGGTATTTGATCTTTCTAAAATCAAGATTTAGGGTTTTTTGTCAATAGGCAAATATTTTGCAGCAGTTGATTTCTAATGATATATATATTTTTTTCTGTTGCAGGAAGGTGTGAAATATGCTGTTCGGTTACGAAACTACGGCAGCAGGACAGCCAATGGGGACGGAGGTATGACAACAGTGCAGTGCTCAGACGGCGTTTCCTTCACCTTCAGCACTTGCAGCTTGAGCAGCAATGGAACCAATCAGACCAGGGGTCAAATCCCACAGATTCTCTACTACAGGTAAACACAAATCTGTTAGATGTCATTTATAGCCCCTCAGAAAAGATTTAACCCCTATTTTTCTCTTACTTTAGGAGTGAGTATGATGGGGACCTTCAGTCTCAGCTGCTTAGCAAAGCCAATGAGGAGGACAAGAACTGCAGCAGAGCTCTGTCTGTGGTTAGTGCTGTAGTCAGAGCTGCAAAGGACCTCCTGCACAGGGCATTTGCAGTTGATGGTAAATAAAGCAATAGTCTAAACAAAACAAATTTTAGGAGAAACTATTGTACTGAAGGTTTGTACTTAGTTGTTTGATCTTTCTGCTCCCAGCTGATGACATTCCAGAGCTGTTAAGCTCCTCCAGCCTCTTCTCTATGCTGCTGCCACTGATTCTGGCCTACATTGGACCTGTTGCTGCATCTGTGCCAAAGGTAGAACCTCCAGCTTCCTTTTTACTGTGCAGTGCTGACGCATTTTTATCGTGAGGTTAATGACTTATGTTCTCCTTGCAGGCTGCTGTTGAGGTCTTTGGATTAGTTCAAGAACTGCTGCCTGCTGTTTCTGCCCTCAACCAAAAGTATGCGCCACCCTCCTTTAACCCCAACCAGTCTACTGACAGCACCACTGGCAACCAGCCTGACCTAGGCCTGTCAGCTTGCACCACTTCCAACCACTACTCTGTAATTGAGAGTGATCACCCTTATAAACAAGCTGGGGTCACACAATACAGGGTACTGCGCTTGTAACTATGACATGTATAATCATCTCAACAAGGGAGCAACTTTTAAATGGTTTCTCTCTGTACCATCTGCTGTCAGGTATCCTTTCCAGACTGCGTTCGGTGGACCACCATCGAGTTCGATCCTCAGTGTGGGACAGCGCAGCCAGAGGACGTCCTTCGGCTGCTCATCCCCAGCCGCACGCTCCATTTATCTAACCTGGGTGGAAAACCTTTGATCCACGACACCATCAACACCTGGACCGAACTCAGGAAGTTCTCAGGCTCCACTGGCTGGCCCACCACAGTGCTGGTTCTTCCAGGTGAGACATTAATGCCTGAGAAAACCGATCCTTTTATTCCTGGTTGATTATCAATACATTTCCTACAGTCAGGAAAAGTTTGGAATTTTACCAATATTTTTTAGGTGTGGATAAAGAAAATAAGAGCGTGTTTCCAGACCTTATTTAGATGCTTTGTTCCTTCTTTCTTCTGTTCTTGTCATTCCTCCTATATACACTCTCAATTTCATAATTTCCTTTCTCTCTTCAGTGTGGCCTTTAATCTATCCTTCTTTAGGTTGTTCTTGACTTCATGTGATCATTCCTTCCTTGTGTCCTCAATTATTATTTTTTATTTGTGTCTTTTCTTAAATTCTCTCTCATGCAGATCACTCCTCATAGTTGTCATTTTTTGAATCAGTTCATCTCCTCTTCTTTCAGGGAATGAAGTCCTGTTTTCCCTGGAAACAGCCTCAGATTATGTAAAAGATGAGAAGGCTTGTTTCTATGGCTTCAAGTGTGTGGCTATTGGATATGAATTCAATCCTGGTCCTGATGAGGTAAGGACACTTTCCAAAGTTTCACTGATGACGTTTGAAGGAACAGTTTCATTTGATGTTACATCAGAATGCCCCATAGCTGAACAGAGAGGTTAAAGCTACAGTAGCAGAAAATAAATTGAACATAGCAGCTTTTGAGGTTTTTTCATGCGTCACCTACATTTTTACAAAACGAAAGTCAGAAACGGTGAAACCCTTTGATCTGCACTTTATTTCATTTATTTTATAGATAAATGGTCTCCCATGCGGCTGGTCTTTAACATGATCAACCAGAATATGTCATTTTTTTATAAACTGCTGGTTTCCTTTTTGCGCTACAGACTGCGCTACAGACCTCTCCATGTCTGGATGCTGGTTTGCTGTTTTGTATTTTTGCTGTGATACCTCTTGCTGAAAGTGAAGCTGAGATTAATAGGTTGTTTTCTGGACTTTCAGGGTATAATCCAGTTAGAGAAAGAGTTGGCGTTCCTGGGGAGCGTGTGTGCTGCAGCTTTAATGAAGAAAGATTTGGCTCTTCCTATTGGTATGCAAAACGGAGCACAGGGAAGTTTTTTTCCCTTTACTGACAATGAATTTATCAATTCATGTTTGACATATTTTAGGTAATGAGTTGGAGGAAGATCTTGAGATTCTTGAAGAAGCCTCTCTTCAGGTATGTTCCCTGCAAACTAACCTTGAGTTATATAAACTCTCCTTGTTAAATTAAGTAAAAATTCCTTCACCACTCATATTTTTTTACCTGCCATTCCTAGGTGTGTAAAGCCCACTCAGGGATTCTGGGGAAAGGTCTGGCCCTCTCTCACTCTCCCACAATACTGGAAGCCCTTGAGGGAAACCTGCCCCTCCACATCCAAACAAACGAGCACTCGTTTCTAGAGGACTTTATCACCTGTGTGCCAACCTCGAGTGGAGGCCGACTTGCCAGGTGTGTAATGCCACTTTGATGTTGACAAATCAAACCCAAGTCGATTTACCTTAAAATACTATTCAACAAAACAAGATGATGATTCTCTGAGATTAAAAAAAGTACTAGATTGAGATTAGATATGTCATAGAACACGCGTCAAATATATCCGTTTTATGCAGCAGCTTTGACATACGTACAGAGAAAAAGAAAAACTGACCTTTTTATTATCTCTCCTCATCAACTGAATCAAAATGATTTTGTTTGAAATTATTTGTATGGGATGACTAATAAGTTAACAATCTGTGCAGGTGGCTGCAGCCTGACTCTTATGCGGATCCTCAGAAAACTTCTCTGATCCTGAACAAAGATGATATCCGTTGTGGTTGGCCAGCTACTGTGGTGGTGCAGACTAAAGACCAGTATGGGGATGTGGTGCATGTTCCCAACATGAAGGTTCCTCCTTTATACTTGTTATTATTTTAGTGTCTTGTTAACTTAGAAGGTTGTTTTCATTTGTACAGCTGTACTCACCGTCAGAGCCATCTGCTCCCTCTGTAGGTGGAGGTAAAGGCTGTTCCAGTTTCCCAGAAGAAGTCTGTTCAGACGGATAATATGAAAAAACTGCAGAGGCTTCCTGGAAGCTCGTCTCCTTCGTCTTCTGGCCCTGACCTCACGTTTGGAGGCCTGCAGATGCCTAAACTGGAAGCCACCTACGAGCCTGTGATAGTGAAAGAAGCTCGATACATTGCCATCACCATGATGAAGGTCTGCATGACTCACTCAGTACATTTGAGATATATATATATATATATATATATATATATATAAGTGTTATCTAGTTCAGCTGTTATACATTAGTTTCAAAATGTAATTCCCAAAGTGAGACAATGTCGCTTAGATGTACAAAGCCTCATAGGGCTGGGCGTTTATTGTATCCCTCTATTGTTATTGTGATCATTTTGTAGTCATGATAATAATTTGGATTTATAGTCTAAATAATAAATTAGAATTTCTGATGATTTAAACTAAAATAATGTTGAATGGTGCATTTTATTTTTAATATTTTCTGTTTTCATTATTTTTCTCCATTGCTGCATTGGCAATTTCAAAAAATATGATTAAATGCAGTTACTAAGGGATATTTAGTGATATAAATGACACTTATTTTATGTAATTGATGTCCCAATGAGGCCTATTTTAAAGTTTTTTTTATATTTTTGTCTATGAGTGATTGTTTGGCTACGATTACTATGACATTCAAAGCTCTAAAATGACCTGAGATTGACTTTAAAGAATTAATGAGGTGTTTTTTTATATTCCATTTTATCTTTATCACAATACTATACCAAAATACCATTATAAGATTTTAAGGCCATATCGCCCAGCCCTACTTCTTATGTATGGTGCATCTTTCTTTCATGTTTAAACCAAAGTGCACCTGATCCCCAATCACCGATTTTTTTTTTTTTAAGTTCACACCCACGGATGCAGAAGTCAGCCAATTCTGATTTCTGTTTTGTGTCACTGAAAAAAAAGATATAGTGATTTATTGATAAAAATCAATAATAAAGAGTTAAAAAACATGACTTATTAATGAGACAGATTTTAGTTAATTGTTTTCTTTTTTCTGTTTAAAATCGTTTAAAAACTTTGCCATGTTGTATTTTTCAACTAGATCTATTTAAAATATATATTTTGCTTAATGCTTTGAGGGAAGAAAATATGATGAGAGACTCATACACGTTTTCTCAGTCCACTTCAGATGCTTATTGTTTCCTCGCTGATTTGTCATTGATTTTTTTGGGGGGGCAGATACTTGTCTTCTTTAAGGGTACCATCATTTTGTTTAGGTGTGTTTTATGACTATTTATTTAAATCATTCTGTTGAAGCATGTTTGAGAATCAAAGTCTGACTTTCCTTTGTTCATGTTCATAGAATTTAATTTATTACTTTTGATTATTTTGGGTTTTTCTCTTTTACCAACAATTTTGTCCGCATGTGTTTCCTTTAGAGACTACTGACTAGTATTTATACGCGTTGTTGCAACCTTTAAACTTACATTCTACATTCCTTTTAGGCTTATGAAAACTACTCCTTTGAAGAGTTGCGCTTTGCTTCCCCCACCCCAAAGAGGTAAGCGGAAGCCTGCAGCTCTCTGAACACATTTTCCACCAGGACGGTCCTCTAACAGACTCCTCTCATAACAGGCCCAGTGAAAATATGCTCATCCGTGCTAACACCGATGGGACCTACAGCGCTAACTGGACTCCTGGAGCAGTCGGCCTCTATACGATCCACGTCACCATCGATGGCATTGAAATAGGTATTCCCCCATCACTACCACCACGTGGTGTAACTCTCTGATAACACTGTGCCTGACTTCTAAACTTTCTCTCTTGAAGATGCTGGGTTGGAGGTGGAAGTCAAAGACCCTCCAAAGGGAATGATACCACCTGGGACCCAGATGGTGAAACAGAAGGCTGAACCTCAACCAAGCAAGGTGCATTTTATTTTCTCCACATCTTAAATAAACACTAGTGGTTGGATGCAATAAAAAAAATTTATTACAGAGTCTTTTAATTACTAGAGTTTTAATCAAAAAACATATATCGACAGAATTAACCACCATTTCCAATTCAAAAACTCCTTTCTCCCCAATTAATTGATAAATAATTATATGAGCACAACAACACATATATTTATTGTTTTTAATCCAACTATTTAGGTTATCGAACCATCAGAGTGGTTCCAAAGTTATAATATTTTAGTTTTACTTTAGAAACCACTGATATTTTATGCAATTTCTTAGAAAAACTACTTAATTATAGCACATTCTCGTTCACTAAATGTGATACATTAAAAAAAAAAAATCTGTGTGTGTGTGTGTGTACATGTATAGCAACAAGGCATACCATAGTGCCTGTAAGCAGAAGGTAGTTTCATTTCTAACACTAAATTATGACAGTCAGCTCTGCATAAAGCATTGACTTCAGGAGCTTAACAATACTGAGCATTTAGTGCAATTGACCCACTTGCAACTAAGGCTACTTTTTCTGGTTAAGCGATATTTTTGCTCCTCCCTAACTGCCAGCACTGTTCGGATATATAACTCTTTATGGTTTCCACGGACGCGCTTCTAGCTCAGATCTCCATACCGAGGTTTTTGGGTCAAGCTGTGGTTTTTCAGCTTGAATATCTGCACTGGACTATTGGGTTTGTTCAATTTTAAAGGCTGCATCTTCCAAGGACCTGGTCTATCTGGACTGAATCCTTCTAGGTCCGTGAAAATAAGGAGACCGGAAGAGTTTTGGCTGTGGCTCTGTCGCCTATCAACCATGACAGTTGACACACAAAGCAAGAAAAGAATGAATAACAAAGTTCTCACTGCCATGCTGGGTGTTATTAACATTTTCGAGGAGGTCCAATAGCTGTATCGTTTCGGATATATTAGAATTTTTCCTAAATATCAGCCAAACCCATTTACACAGGGACAGATAAAAACATTTCAATAAACCAAACATTACATTGCTATATATCTGTCTCAATAAACATTCAAAACAACTATTTTCATAAATTTCACATGGAACTATTCACATACTTGTATTATATAAAGCTGAACCTTCAATATTCACCACTGTTAACGCCACATACCTTTTTTCCTCTGAGCACGGCGCAGCCATCTTGTTTGGCCTCCCAATGAATCATTGGATATCCAAGGCTATGTAGGATACACCGGACCCGTCCTTCAAAATGGGCAAAAAGAAGGATGCATTTGCCAAACAGACCTCGGCCCCACGCTATGACGCAATCGGCCTATGAATCTGGCCTTCGGAGGACGCAGCCCATGAATTCAAATTCAGCCAAAGCCTGTGATGCTGCTTATGCATCATATTTCTGGGTGCTGAAGAAACAGAGTAAAAAGGCTCCCATTTGGGACTAAAATGCAATTAATTGCGTATTTTTAAAAAAATGTGTTAAAATGTTTCTAAATAAATAATCCAAATTGACATTAAAGTCCCCACCCTAAAATAAACACAAAATAATCCAAACGCAATGTGAGCATCCGCTGATTTAACATTTGCCCATTTGATGGAATTTGAAATGTTTGGTTCTACTTATATGCAGAAATGTTTGCTCTAAGGGAAAACATATTTTATAGCAATAATATAAGGTAAATACTGCCTATGCATACATACAACATGCATAGAGAGACATCCAACTCTGTGCAGAAACCCGATAACTCCTTGGTGCAACTTGGCTATTGACATATTTAGGACTTCAATAATGAGTTAAAATGTCTAAAGGAACTATAAATAAAACATGTGCATGTGTGAAGAACAGCAACATAGGGTGTTCCTCATAAACAAATTCATAATTTCTCTGCCTCAGAAGACCTTTAAGATAATTATATTTCAGGATCAAATGTAGACCAACATGAGTTCAAAAGTATAAAATCCCCATTTATGTCCCTCAGGTTAAAGAAGAACCCACTATCACCATTTTTTGTTTTAAAACTTTGAAACTGACGTAATGTTTTCTAGTTTCTTCTAGAGTAGCAATCAGTTATAGAAAGCATTTTTAATTATAAATACCTAAAGAAATAATTGATCATCTGCTATTTTTGCAGTTTGATTTCATCATCATTTTGTGAAACTTATTAAACTTTTTTAAAATACATAATGGGGAAACAAGCAACAATTTGTGCTCTTTGGTTTTGTTACACTATAAAAAAAAAAGGACAAGCCTAAAAGAAGCACGAACTTGTCCTTCTGAAATCAACTTTCTACTATTCTATAATTTTCTGCTGCAATGATTCATAGAAGGTGGCTCAGGCTCTGTATGGGGAATCGTCTTGTCGGCTCCCACCATCAGCGCCTCCCCTGTCATTTCTGTCCTTCTGATGCACCTCTTGTTGTTAATTTCTTTCTGTTCTTTGCTTCCGCTGATCACAATCTCCATCTCCCTTCTTACTCTGTCAGGTCCGCAAATTTGTGTCCAAGGACAGCGCAGGCCTGCGTGTCCGTAGTCACCCCTCCTTGCAGAGTGAACAGATAGGCATAGTGCACGTCAATGGCACCATCACTTTTATTGACGAGGTAACCCAAATTACTATAGATATATACGCTGGACTCTGATCCAAGGTTCTCTCTTTTTTTTTTTTTTTTTTTTCTCCAGAAAATCAGAATAGTAAATGAGACGGATAATGTCAATTATAAAAGCTTTTTGTCATTTTTTTTTTATATCAAACAGTCATTTCTCTGTTATAATTACTGCCTTGTAACTTTTTGATTCTCTCCCTTTAAGTTGCTTCATTTCATCTTGCAAGACACTCTGAGGCTTCATGAAAGTCTGATTCATTGCATCTCGGATAAATTAATTAACTTTCTCCATCTTCTAGAGCAAGTTTCTGCAGATTTCTCTCATTTACTTCTTATCGTGACATAAAGAACCTTTCCTGCTGCCTCAGAGATGTCAGACGTTTGTAATCTTGGTGATTTTCCCCTCCCTCTTCTGTTTCTTTTAGTAACAAGCTGGCGTGTCTTTGCTCTGCTCTGTTGCTTGTTTTCCCCCTTAGATCCACAATGATGATGGAATATGGCTCAGACTCAATGATGAGACAGTAAAGAAGTATGTTCCCAACATGAATGGTTACACAGAAGCCTGGTGCCTCTCTTTTAATCAGCACCTGGGCAGGAATCTACTGGTCCCAGCTGACGTAAGTAGAAGACGGCCTGTTGAGTAGCTTCACCAGTTCTCATAGCGATGGGCTTGTTAAACTGAGAAAGAGCCCATTAATGTTCAATAGTAATGATACGCTTAGCCAGCATTCACGTCCCAGTGGCATGGTAAATGAAGAGTAAAAAATTGAGCTGTTGGAGCATTTCTGTGCATGATAGTGTCCTTTAACATTACTTAAACCTCTTGAACATTGTGCCACGTTACAACCACAAACTTCAATGCATTTCATGGGATTTTATATTATAGAAAAAACATCTGGTAGTGCAAAAAAGTTCAATCTAAAGAAAATGAGAGAAGGAAAAAAGGCTCAGCCTCCCCTTGTCAGTACTGTGCAGAAACAGCTGTCACTCCGGTTACAGTCACCAGTCTTGAATGTCGCTGCCAGCTTTGCAGATTTGAAATCTTTGCACAGCAGACGTCTGTGTTTTATTGCAGTCTTTTTTTAAATGAACGATTAAACTGCTCTCAGTAAGATATTTAAAGCATGAGATATTCTTTTCCACACCTTCATCTCTGACCTGTCTGCTGTATGTTGATTGAGCTTTATAATGATGCTTTTCTCCCTAAATGTCCTCTAATAAACCTCTCTTTTTTCACTGAACAACCGGATTTCAACGTTAATGAATTACATGACTTCTAAAGATGAGTTTGGGCTGGATTTACTTCATATTTTTCCACATCTTTATGTTGGTAACTTGCATAGAGTCCCAAAAAATATACATTGATCTTTGTGGTTGTAAGGAAATCTGAAAAAGTTCAACAGGAGTGAATACTTCCATAAGGAACAATTTGAAGTATGACACTTTCACTGACACGCTGTAAAGGAAGGGTTGGTGATCAGTGTGCATGTCTTGACTCATGTCTCATTGTGTTTAGCTGAGCACCTTAACTGATCACATGATTTGTGCTATCCACCGTTTTATGCGTCGTTGTGAAATCCCAATGCAGCGACTGACTGAGCAGGAAAAAATAAAGGAATGGCTAGATTGGGTTTTGCAGGTTTATCCTGTGACGAAGGGTGTTTGTTTAGTTAGAGCATCAGACTTATAACTGACTATATATAACTAGTTTGCAAGAATGGAATTTAAGGATGACATGTTATTTACAATTGAAAAAAATAAAGCCAAAGGTTGGTGTTTTTGTTTTGTCATGAACCAATCATCTCCTCTGCATTGGGATGCGTTGGTAGCCAGGAGGCTTTACTATGAGATCTCTGTCTGAACAGCATGGCACGCTGCATCATCTGAGTGGGGAATTTTTTTGGAAGGCTCCAGTGTATCCATGTTTTTATTGCCTTTTTGTTTGGTTACAAAAAGTAAAACCCAAAGTTTGTGGTGTGAACTTCTATTCGATTACTTTTGTAAGCACTTTGGTCCCTGTTTTTTTTTTTTTTTTTTGGCTCATCCACATCTTCCAAACTATTTGACATCAGTCCAAATCTAACATCTGGTCTTCGCCACTTCAAATAAACTTGGAGTGATCGAACCAGAAGGGTCAGGTCCTATTTTTTTATTTTGATTTTTTTTCTTCCAAAAAAATCTGTGTACCCCCCCTTCTCCCTGCTCTGTCTTCCTTCCCGAGTCGTTTTCTGTTTTTTGACTCTCTCACAATTTGCTTAGAATGTTTTTAACGCAAGCCAAGGAGTCAGGGATGTCGCCTTTTTGTCATGGACCCCCTTAACTATTTTCCCACCACAGGTGAGTTGAATGAATCGGAGATGAATAGCTTGACGTCTGTCTGTCATTCGCCTTGTGAGTCAGACGTCAAATATATCTGCATGGTTGTCTGAACACTGATAGTTCGATCTTTTAGCAAAATTCTGTACTTCTAGACGACCACATTGTTCGTGGAAAGTTAGCGGATTTCCTTTAAGGGCATTGGTGATTGCATGGGTTCCAGGTACTGATGTTCAGTCTGTTGCATGAGATCTTGTGATTGAAATACATAGTGTCCATGTTTGTCATAGCATGGTATACAAACTTCATATGGATAGTTGTGCTAAAGTGGGCGCTTTGTTTGATTGTTCATCAGAATTACTATAGTTTATCTGAATTATTTGAGGTATCTGCCTTTTCTACTAAAAAATAAATATACAAAAACACAAAAATAAGAATGAAGCTATTCTATTTATAGAAAAAGGGACAAAAAAACATACATTTTTTGTTAGGAAGTTGATGGTTTATTTAATTAAGGTCTTTAAGCCAAACTTTGCTTAAATCTTTGATTCTGTTTTTTTTTTTTTTTTGTGGTGCAAAGGTATTAAATTTTATTTCCCTTTTGTTATAATACAACCACTAAATTCAATGTATTTTAATTGCTTCTGATATAAAGTAGAGTATAATTGTTTGGTGCAAGGAAAAATAGTTTTCCGCTCCTTTTGCTGCTCCAAATGCCATTTTGACTCTCTTCTCTACTCTTTCTTCTTTAAAAAATCAAAATAGGTGAATCTCTGAGATATTGGACAGTGAATGTCCATAAAAATTATTTTATAAGTCTGAACATTTAGTTGAGTGTTGTAGCACTTAGTATTTCTTTGATATAAAGCAGTGGTTTCTATGTCAGTCCACAAATAGTGGGGGGGTCATCTATGTTTTAGATGTTTCCCTGAGTCCATGTAAATGCTGCTAAAATAGCCACTCAATTGCATGATGCTGCCACCACTGTGGTTCACCAAATTATTGACTTTGCTACAGCAGTTGCTTTCGACCATGTTTTTGGACTGTTGGTTGCTGTGCCATATAGTGTGGGTTAAACTCCACTGTGTGACATGTTTATAACCTAACTATGCTTTAAACTTCTCCACCTTACTGTCCCCAATGTTTCTAGATTGTTTAGTCGCTCTCAGTGTCTGTCCACTGATATTCTTTGACTACAAGATATTTGGATGCAGTTCAGAGGTCTTCGAGTTGCCTTTTTTTGCCACTTAAGTCCTGTTTTTGTGTTTTATTGGCAAAGTTAAATTACATTGAGGTTTGTGGTTGTAACTCGACAAATGTAAAACCTCCAGTATGAATAGTTTATAGTTGAGCCAATCTTTACATGGCTGTTTGTTGCTGTGTTTTAATTGATGCTTTTACGTCTTGCAGGAGGTCAGGGGCCAATCGGAGGAGAGCGTTAAGGAGGTGAGCAGCTGCCCTTCCCACGAGGCTCCCATTCGGGTGCAGAACAGGGCTGGGCAGGGCGGCGGCCCGGGGCTTTATAAGGTAGTGAAGACCGGCCCCTCTGGTCACAACATCAGAAGCTGTCCAAACCTTAGGGGTATCCCTATTGGAATGTTAGTACTTGGCAACAAAGTCAAGGCCATAGGCGAGGTACGCACTCACCCCAAAATAATACAATGTGTTTTTGTTGCTGCAGCTCAATAACTTAGTGTGTTTAGATCCCTATTCAGCCTCACAGTAATACTTTACTTTCAAAGCTGTGCTTCTAAGCATGGGGTTTGCTCTCTGCCTCTGCACTTTCTGAGGTTCTATCAACTCCTGTGGCTGCAGTACTTAACACCTGACTAATTTCAGCTTATATGTACATTTATAATTGTCTGAGGGTGTCAATTTCAGTTGCCTTGAAACATTTTGGTAAAAACCTGATTACCATATCGGGGAGCCTTTTTGTACCTTGACTTGACTTTTCTTGCTCTTGTTATTGCTTTGTAAGTTTGCTTTAAACACCTCGGTTTCCTTCGATCCGTCCATCTGGAGCCGCCTATCTTTTTGCTGGTGACCTGTCCTTGGCTGTTGTGGCGTGTCATGCTGTTCAGTAGATTTCTGAGACTGCAGTTGAATGCCCTTGTGTGGATCTGGGAGATGCTTCCTGCATAAACTAATACTTCCATCTGTGTATGTTTTTCCACGTCAATAATATTGCAGGGCGTTGAGAAAACACGGCTTCATGCATTTACCTTTTCAATAACACACCTCTTTCTTAGAGTAAGTTGTTTTCTAATTAATTTGACCACAGTTGTCGTCCAGCGGTATCTGCATATGAAATCATTTTACTGTAATCTTCTGCTATGAATGCTCCTCCTCTGAGATGGCCTTAAAATTTTGCACGTCATTGATCCTTTATCGCAGAGATATTGTCGTGGTTTGGTATGTGCTGTAATAACCTGGATGTGGAGTGTTTGAATACTAAAATGGATCAGAGTGTCTTTAGAGGATGTGTGAGTGTGAATAAAAAGCTTTGTTTGTGTATCAGGTTGTAAACTCAGAGGGAACCTGGGTGCAGCTGGATAAGAACAGTGTAGTGGAGTTCTGTGAGAGCGATGAGGGGGAGGCTTGGTCGTTGGCCAGAGACCGTGGAGGGAACCAGTACCTGCGTCATGATGATGGTAAGTTTGACTTGAACTCAGTGTTTTAGTTGGAATGTAAAGGTTGTATTAGTGCCCTTGGCCCTTAGCCAGCATATGCCCGACGTCTCAGAATCTTCTTAAACGCTGGCATAGGCTGAACTTTCTATGCATTTTCCAATTTTGTGCGTATACATAGAGTTTTTATAACAAGTCCAGAACTTATGTGTAATGACAGCCTAACATGTGCGTACCGCACAACAAGGTAATGCCCACGAAATGATGCATAAGCCAGTTTCCTGAGGGGGCAGCGATGCGCCCGAAGGTTCCCAGTCTGCATAAAAAGATGTATTTGATTGCGGTATTAACCTAGCTGCTGTTTACCGCCCACCCCCCACAAAAAAAAAGAAGAAATAAAAAGAAAAAAAACTAAAAAGAAGGTTTACATTCGCAGCAGATTCAGCGTCATGTCTGCTAGGAAGTTTGTTGGGCGTGAGCATGACCACAGGGAGGATCCATCACTCGCCTTCTCGCTCACCCTATGATGGGGAAGAAGTCTGGAGAGTACAGAGTGTTTCCTCCTGTGAACCTCCTTTACTAACGCCGCCAATACGCCATTATACAGTAGCTGTAAGTTAGAAACACGTTCATTGGTTGTCAAATTAGTTGATATGTGTTAGAGATAAGTTCTTGATAAGTTACGCATTAGTTAGGCACGAGTTACTCATAGTTTTTGGATAAGCTAGACGCCACGACCTATGAGTAACTGACACTTAACGTATGTCAACAATCAGATAACTGACCTGTAACTTATGCCCCACGTATGAGGATACGTCGGGAAATTTTGAGCATGCTGGCAGACTTCGTATCTTGACGTGTGCCAGCGTGTTTCAGCGTACTTCAGCGTTCTCATAATTTATACAAAACGTACCCGTAACTTATTCAACGTATGCTTGCGTTTTTGCCAGACTTTTCGTCCGTCAGGCATACGCTTGTCTTAATCGTCAAAATGCGACAGGGGCTTCAGTGTTTTAGTTGGAATTAAAAGGTTGTATTAGTGTCCTTCATATAAATATGTTAAAACTCTTAGATCATGAATACAAATAAAGCTGCTAATTTATGCCATGATGGGGGAAGAAGATAGGTTAAGATTATTATTTTTAACAAAATCTAAAAATACTTACCAATAAAGATATATCAAAAGTATTTTTTATTTATTTATACCTAATTTCTAAGTTAATGTAGGACTTTTTGAAGTTATTCATCTATGAATTTCTGTTTCTATTGGAAGAAACAGGCTGCATGGGGAACCATGTGGAAGTTACCACCACAAGTTTTGTTCATTAGAGAGAAGGAGAAAAAAAGAGGCTGAAGCTCAGTTTCGCAAGTTCTCTTCTTGCCCTGTCTGGATCTACCTGAAAACAAAAGATTAACGTAGAAAGAATCGTATTCCTTTTGAATAGTTTGGTGGGGGATCTATTATGCTGTGGAGCTGTTTCTATTGAGGTGGCATCATAGTCTTAAAGTAGATAAAACAACAGGGCATGTTCATTTGCATCTAAAACTGTGGATAAATGAGTTATATGACCAGGAACAGATTGACTACACAGCATTAACAAGGTGTACCAAGTGTGGCTATGGTTGGTTTGTTAAAAAAAATCTTTACATATACCTGCTAAATCTTAAAGATTGGATTTGAAAACTTTGATTGTGAAATTAATAATTGATTAACTACGATGATTAACTATTTCTGCAGATCTACTCGCTGGTCAACATGCAGACCAGTAAAGTATATTACTGTGCACAAAAAATAAACTGATAGCTGTTGAGATTTATTTTAGTGCTTTTTACACCTTACCACTGTAATCCAGTTAATGAAGAAGGCTTGTCAGTCAAATAAATATCTCATAAATACCTTAAAAGTGTTTTTATTTGGTTTTGCAGAACAAGTTTTGATTGAGCATGGAAATCAGACCCCACCACCCAGCCCCTTCTCTGTGCAAGCTTTCAGCAGAGCTGCAACTTCAAACGGAGCTCAGGGCTTTGACTATGGCATCTCCAACAACAAAGGTGAGGAATTAAAGGAAACAGAGAGGAAATATATATTCTGCACGTATTTCTATAAATGTATTCCTTCTGTCAGATCTCATATTTTACTGTCATACTTCTTTGGTTTTTCAAAACCATGTGAAAGCCTCACAGGCGGATTTAGATAATTAGTTTACTGTGTTGCTTTCCTGTGTTATTTACAGCAGGAAAAGTTGTAAATCTGGAACTAATACTGCAATATCTGCTGTATTTGCATCTATGTCTGAATTCATAGGTGTTGTCTGTACATCTGTTTTCCTTTTTGAGGTTGCTGCATGTTTCTTAAGTTGTCTAATGCTGCTGTGTCATGCGTCACATCTCTGCAGTGTTGGGCATACGTCTGCATGCATGGGCCAATCAATGTCATTACGAATTTTGTGGGCTTTGTAGATGAATGTAGAAGCTCGCTCTCACCACCCCTCTCACCTTTTTACTCAATGCTGTTTTAGATGAGTTTCATTTTCAACATCTGGTCACTTATTTGAATCGAGTACAATCAGCACCACCTCAGTAGAGTTTATTTGTCTCCTTTTCTGATAGAATAATATGCTTATATCGTGCCAGTCTTTCTACAAAGTGACATTCTCTACCAACCTTGACTCAGGTGTTTTTTGTCTTACCGTATGATGAAGTAAAATTGCGAACTACGATTTAAAAATATCCATCCAGAGCTACAATTCTTTTATGTAGGTCAGGATCAGATTAAACACATTTTGATATATAAAAAATGTAGTAACAGCAGCAATATTAACAATTTTTATTATTTGGCTAATTTAGGTTAAAGAAATAAACTTAGAATTAAAACTTCCCCTTATCAGGAACAATTTATGGCTTTAGAATATTTCATATATTTCATTTCATAATGTGCTACTTGCTTAGAGCAGGAATAAAATGTACTGTATGGTTTTCTGGGCTAGAAAACCTACAATCTACCTGTTCTTGAATCCAATGTCATCAGTTGAGTTAAGCCATCCCACAGCGTTCCCAGACCAAAGCGTGGTCCCTTTATAATCGCTGGGTATATCCCAGTGTCTCTTGCTAGTGGCTGATGCCCTGACGATTTTCAAAGGAGAAATCCAGGAGGCGAAATGGTCACAGTTACAAACCAACTCTGCTGACTTAGGTTAAGGTGGATGAGCAGCAATATTACTCCTCAGTAGATGTTGGATCTCCTTAATTAATGAGGTGGCTGGGTCCAGACAGCCTATATAGGAAGTTTAAAAATGCTGCTTGTATCTGGAGTTTCATTCCCACTGCCATTCACATCAAATTGACCATATAAATACATCAATAAATAGAGAAGTCTTCCTTCACCATTTCAAACTTTCCACATTGGTTCACCTGAGGTCCGATATATAGTTTTCCTCCAGAGACAGAATGTATTCAGCCACCTCAGACATGAAGTAACTTACTTTCATCATATCTGGTGACATTCCTGCACAACTGACCCAGTAAATACTGAAGGCATGGCTTCAAGATCCCATTAGAACTACATAATCTGAAAAGAACAAAAAGAAGGCTGGTTGTGATGATCTTCCTCATCTCACTTTGGTCAGTTCAGGCTTATAAAGGACATTTTCCATCTCATTGATGACTTTCCTGCTTTAATGTGGGGTTACGCTTGGGTCCCAGAGGTTGTTTTAAATGCAAAGAGGGAATTTCCCCATTGTTGGACAATAAAGCAATTTACATTTTATATATATATATGAGCATTAACATGGTCCAACCTGCACTGCAAACAAGTGTCCCCAAGTCAACCATGCAATCCAGTGTCCCTACATCCACCTGATGGCTCTCTAGGGACTTAAGAGAAGGAGAGACCTGTGTCCCTGTCTCCACAGTTGTCATTCATTAATCTAAGCTTTGTGTGCAACTGAGTCCAACTATATCTAGTTGGTAATGCTCACCCTCACAAACCAGCTTAGACTCTTGTCCTGACAGCGACTTTACGTTTATTGCCCCAAAATCCACAATAAAACTACCAGGATCATCATTCCCCTGACACCCATCTGATGATCGGCATGACCCTGAGGTTCCTCCCTACGTGCGATTAGCTCACAAAGAGGAGGGGGCTTGTAATGCCTTTTTTTTGTGCCTGAGCCACCACTATGCGCTGACTAGTGAGCATGCTGTGTGGACTGGCCCCACAATGGCCCTTTGGCCTCTGTTGTCATGAGTTCTGAACTTATCACCTGATATTATGAATTAGAACTTGATCATGGCTATAACTTTGGCTATCTTGCATTGAACTGCTTTATTTTTTTTGTTTGACATTAAATGTTTATCTAATTAGTTGTAGATGATGGCCTGTCTTATTAAAGCCTACTATAGAAATACACTTAACTGCCCTGATAGGTAAACCTGAGAGTGTGTATTTTGTGTCAACAATTGGCATTTTTGAGTAACCCAAACAGGTATTTGTGTCCTGATGCAGTTTGGAGAATTAAATGCAACAGGATTTTTATTTTTTTATGTTGTCCTTTAGATTTTCTCCTTTTTATTAGATGGACCTTTGCTTGTAAGCGTTTTTATGGTCTAGAACAAAAAAAGGATATCCAGGAAGCTGTGTCCCTTTTGGCTCCCTGTAGTTTGTAAATCTGGTTTTCTGTGGGAGATGAGTGAATGGAAGAAAATGAACAGCCACCCCCCCTCTCCCCCCCATGACATCCTCAAACCACAGTATAAGCTGTAGTTTCTCCACTTCCTCTGTGTTCATATTTGCAGGTGACCGGTTAAGTGCCATACTGAATTCCATTCAGTCTGGGCCCTTCCTCTCAGCAGCTCCCTCCTCCTCCTCCTCCGTATTTGATCAAGCTGCCCAACCTCCCTCCTCTTCCTCTTCCTCCTCCTCTTCCTCCTCCCTTGTCCAGAGCCCATTTGTGTTTGGACAATCCCCCTCCCAAGTGTCTCAGCCACAACCACAGCTTCTGAGTAAGTCTGTCCTGCTTTCTGACAGCACTTTCTCACACAGGTGTTGGATCTTTCAAGCTTGCAATGTTTTGTTTTTCTGAGTTTCATTTCTTTTTGTTCTTCCATGTTAAATAATCCATGCGGTGAAGAGGGGTGATAAGTGACTCATAATGCTACTGCTCTACAGTGCAGAAATATCTTTAACAAGCTTATGTGTCTAATATTTAATGTTGAAATCTTGTTTTGTTTTTTTTTTTGTTCGTTTTTAAAGGTACATTTATTCATTAAATAAACACTGAAAAAAAAACAAGATTTCAAGCTGAAATACTTAGACTTTACATCATGGTTTAAATAGATATTTTTGCTGTCTGCTCTCATAAAACGCTGAGTTGCTTTGATTTCTGTTTGTTGTGCTTGCTTGGTTGTTTACCATATCCGTCTCCTTTTTGGTTTTTATTGCTCCTAAAATTCAGCTTTAAGTGTCTTGTGAGGCTTTTATCTAAACTTTACAAACAGGATCTACATTCACTTCAAAAATAAACATTTATCAACATGTTACATATAAAATGTATGCATGTATGTTGGCCGGCTTAGCTTTTCAAATTAGAAGAAGTAAAACATGTAGTGGATGCATCCAGGGTTCAGCCTCTGTAATAGTTGTTGCACATCTTGATCTATTTTTTAAGCATTGCTGCTGTCTGTCCTCTTGTTGCGTCTGTTGTCCATCTGGAGAGTCCTGTGTATTTTATAAAAAACAGAGTTTTAGGAACGATAGATGATTGACCATTCTATTTATTTATTTTTTTTTTTATCTTTTTTACTTGATTACCAGGAGTCAGCAGATGAAGGACAGGAATACTTTATGCTTTAGATCCTTAAAGAAAATGATATCCCCAATGTTTGATCTGTAAACAAGTACGGCTTATGTGGTTTATTAAAAGTCATATAAAGATTGAACTTTTTTTATACAAAGGGCACACTATTAAACAACCTGCACTCCTTAAAAAAAAAAATCAGAATCCCCACCCCTCCAAAAAACAAAAAAAAAAAAAAAAAAAAAAAGATAATCAGCATCTGTTATTGATCAAACGGTTGGTTGCTCTGCAGGTGGCATCCTTATTTCGGCTAATCTGTTTCACTGCTGATTGGACAAAATTTTGTATTTGAACTTTTAATATTATATTAGATGGTTTACACTATCAATCGCAGATCTTTATAATTCATATTTTTATTAAATAAAGAAACTCCCTATTGGCTTGCTTTAATATGTAATCAGAGAGCAGGAGAAGAATGAAGCCTCTAAAAGAAACATTTGACAGAAACACAGCTGATCTGTCACTTAGGCCAAGGTTTGTCTTTCATACGATAAAAACATTTTTACAAAATTTTAAGTGGTTATTTTTTAGGTCTTTATCTAATGTCTTGAAGAAAAATCAAAATTTTCAGTTAATAGTTTAATAAAAATGCTCAAGGAATACAGTTCATCTCAAAATGTCTTACATAAATATATTTTATAAGCTAGGAAACATTTCCTATTTACTAAACCTATTGCATAATAAGGCGCAGAAATTGATTCGGATCAATGTGAGGTTCCAAACAATGTTTATAATATTTAATAACTCCCCAAAAGTTCTTAATTACTCATTACTCTGAATAAACTTGCTTTTATATCCTCATTCAGAAGCAACCTCCTCCCCACATCCCGCTTTCTCTTGTTGTGCCTGTGCAATATAAATAGTTCTAATCCACACATGGTGCACAAATTATTGTATTGCCTGCATGCTCTCATTAGCATTAAAAAAACACCACCTCGCATAGTCTAAAATCTGGGATAATTTATCCAACTCGCGGGCATCCGGAACTTCCGGGAGACTTGGGATGTCTGCTAATTAACCTTATTGCCACCAAACACCACGGATTTGGCAATCAAACCATTTATTTAAAAGATACTTCAAATAAAAGTTGTAGTGTTCTTCCCCATTTAATTGTCATTTATTTAAGAGCTCCAACGAAAAAGTCTGTTTTCATGATATCCACAGGCCTCTATATTTCCCTCTTATAAGTGTTTGTTTCGTCATGTTCCAACTCAATCTTCCCATCGATTTATGTGTCGTTCCTTTTTCCTGGTTTGCCTTCAGCTGTCTGACCCCTGTTGCCTTCCTCTTTATTCCCTCTCTCTTTCTGTCCATCTTGTCTTCCTTTCTTTCTGTCTTGCATTTCGTGTCTGGCTTGTTTACCTGCTCCACTGTTTTCCCGCTGTAGATGGTTCATCTCGCAGCCTTGCTTCTCGTGAGAGTGTGCACAAAAGCAGTGTGTCGGTGGCTGGTCATGGTAGTGCTCTCTCATCTCTCGCTCTAAGGCAAAAGGGTGGGTAATCACATAATGCATGGTCCCCCCCCCCAGACTCCATAGAGGGTGGGTACGACCTTTCTTCAAAATGAATGAGGACCTTTTCTATTTATCTTAAAATGAAACAGTTTTTGGCATCTTGGTCACCTAATTAATCTCTGGCTCAGGTCTTTAATATAAATATAGAACAATTTTCCTCTCTGCTGAAGACATAAAAAGAGGTTAAATCTTTTTTAGTTGTAGAAGTAAAACCTCACACTGAACTTTTAACTTTTATTCATTGTAGGAAATATTTCCATGTTAAGAAATATTTGTTTTTTTTTACCGAAATTCCCAGTAACACTTATTGGTATGTTTGTCAGTAATACCAACAAGCCTCATCTACCAATAGGGCAGCGTTTATTTTTCTGGTTTATCATTTAATCTGGTTGAAACGGGATTAGATAGAAACAGGAATTTTGCCTGTTTTATTCACATTACTGCTCAGTTTTTAGTTTCTTTTTTTTTTTTTTTTTGAGGAATTGGATCTGACAACAGAGAAGAATATTTAATTCATTTATGGCATTTGGTAAACCTTTTCTGTACTTTGGATCGCAGAAAAACTTTTGGATTATTATTATTATTTTTTAAGTTGGTGGCACATTCCTTAAATTTTCATGTAAAAAGGTTTTTTACTCTCTATTAGGATTCCAAGGGCCTTTTGAAAGACAAGCAACCCACAGCATTACAGATCCTCCATATTACTTTTACAGTGGACATTTATTATTTTTTCCATAAACTTGTTTTGAGTTTTGGTTCCTAAAAAGCTTTAGTCCTGATCTCACCTGTATACAAAGTTCCAGTTGAGTTCAATAGATTCATTCTGTTTACATTTGTAATTGTAGGACAAAAAGAGCCAATTAACAAACTGATACTTTTCTTGTTTTCACCCACCTTTACCTTTCTCACTGGCTTTATAAGTGGGAAGACAAGTATGGGTCCCCGTCTATCGATTTGATTTTCTAACTAAACTAAAAGTTTCCTGTAACATTTATTTCTTAACATGGGATTTCCTCCTTAAATATAAACAAAATGTAGATGCAAATTACTATAATGCTGTAAATGCTATGTAGATTCTAGGTGTTCTCAGCTTCTAATAGATTTATCTATATCCAATATTAAGGAGCAGTCATATAACTGAATTGGTAGCCATTGTCCATCAGTGCGTCCATTCTTCATTAGTTGTCCTCATTCATCACATTCTTCTCTGATTAATCAGAACTGCCAAAAATAGTTTGTGTGTATTTTTTTTACCTTTATTAATCTTAAATTTAACATTCTTCATATTCAAGGCTTTGGTTTTTTTATTCTATTGTTTCTTTCTGTTCATCTTTACTATTTGCTGGTGTTGGTTTTTGTTTAATGATGTTTTATCAGAGAATCGGTCTGAGCATTGATGCTGCCGTGGATCATGTTGTCTCTGTGTTTGAATCAACCATGTTTAGGTGAACGGGGGAATCTGATGTCCGGTGCACGCTCCATGTCCCAAAGCAGCAAACAGCGGCAGGAGAACCGCTCCCCAAAGCATGAGAGCCGGCGCTCCTCTGAGCAGGGCCGGGTGAAAGCGAGCGAGGGCGGACTCTCAGCCAGCGAAGCCCTCATCCTGCGGTCTGACACAGCCAAGCTTAGAAGCGACTCTCACAGCCGCTCCCACTCACCCAATCACAACACTCTCCAGGCGCTAAAGGCAGACGGTAGAACCTCTGGGATTCGGGCCGAGTCGCCGAACCCGGGCTCTCGCTCTTCTTCTCCCAAACAAAAAGGCGTTTCTTCATCGGGACGATCCAGTCCCTCAGGAAACGTATCCCAGCTCTCCTCTTCAAGCCACCATGACAAAAACCTCCCTCCCAAAGTCAGCCCTTCTTCTAAAGCAAAGCCCCTCGACCCCCCCAGGGAGAGATCCAAGTCAGACTCGTACACTCTTGATCCAGACACACTAAGAAAAAAGAAGATTCCTCTTACAGAACCGCTCAGGGGCAGATCTACCTCTCCTAAATCTAAACTGTCTCCTAAAGATCCTAATAAAGAGGTGATCAGTAATACAGAGAACCGTGCTCCATCCCCACATGTGACCCAGGAGAACCTCCATAGTGAGGTAGTGGAGGTTTGCACCTCTAGCGCTCTCCTCTCCAACGAGGACATCAACGATGAGAATGTGGAGCTCCGTAATTCGGATGAAGGCTCATGTAAAGTCCACTTCAGCATTGGCAAAGCTCCGGTCAAAGAGGAGCTGGAGAGCCGCTCCTCACCCAAAGTCAGCCGCAAGGCATCCAGCCGGCACACGCGTCCCAAGAAAGACAAATCCGGGCCTCTGTTCAAAGCCGAGAGCACGTCAAGAGTCACTGAGCCCGTCAAACAAGCTATGTCCCCTTCGGTTGCTGAATGTGCCCGTGCTGTTTTTGCCGCGTTCCTTTGGCATGAGGGGATCGTCCACGACGCCATGGCCTGTTCTTCCTTCCTCAAGTTTAATCCCGACTTAACCAAAGAGCAAGCCCCCATTCGTAACTCCTTGGGAGGACAGGGGCCCGAGGAAAAAGAGAGCAAGTTAAAAAATCGCCACTCCTTGGAGATTTCCTCTGCACTCAACATGTTTAATATCGCTCCCCACGGCCCAGACATCTCCAAAATGGGCAGCATTAACAAAAATAAAGTGTTATCCATGCTGAAGGAGCCTCCGCTCCCAGAAAAGTGCGAGGATGGGAAAGGAGAGACCTCGTCCTATGAGATGGCATCTCATCCCTGCCTGAGGCCAAAGTCAATCTTGCCGTTAACCTTACAGCATTTAGTGGCGTTCTGGGAGGACATTTCAATGGCCACCATCAAAGCAGCTACACAGAACATGATCTTTCCCAGCCCAGGGTCCAGCGCCATCTTAAAGAAGAAGGAGCATGAAAAGGACAGCAAAAAGGCAAAGAAGGAGAAGAAAAAGAGGGAGAAGGCGGAGGTACGTCCAAGAGGAAATCTGTTTGGAGAGATGGCTCAGCTCGCCATGGGCGGACCAGAGAAAGACACCATCTGTGAGCTGTGTGGGGAGTCTCATCCTTACCCCGTCACCTACCACATGAGACAGGCTCATCCAGGTGAGAAGAGAAATCTTTTTCCTGACGTTCCAGATGTGGATCAGGCTTTTTTTAAACAAACTTGTGCTGCATTTCCATGGCAGGTTGTGGCCGTTATGCCGGGGGTCAGGGCTACAACAGCATCGGCCATTTCTGTGGAGGCTGGGCTGGAAATTGTGGAGATGGAGGCATTGGAGGCAGCACCTGGTATCTGGTGTGTGATCGCTGTCGGGAGAAATATCTCAGAGAAAAGCAGAGTGCAGCCAGGGAAAAGGTAGCAGAGCAAGACTATGAGCTAAAACGGTCATCTCTGTTTTTTTATTATTTAAATAAATACAATCAATATTGTTTTAAAGGTGAAACAGTCGAGGAAGAAACCTCTGCAGGTGAAGACCCCGAGAGCTCTACCAACCATGGAGGCCCACCAGGTGATCCGAGCCAACGCGCTGTTCCTGCTGTCCCTCAGCAGCGCAGCTGAGCCCAGCATGCTGTGTCACCATCCTCCCCGACCCCTTCACTCACAGCTGCTCCCCAGCCTAAAGGAGGGCGTCTCAGAGGAACTTCCTAATAAAATGGGCTGCTTATACCTACAAACACTAGCGAGGTAGTTAAAGACCCCATCATTCGATCCTCCAGCACAAAGAAAAGTGCCGTAATAATGTTTATTGGTCATTTTTGTTTCATTCTGGGTTTCTTTTCTTTTGTTTCAGGCAACACACTGAGAACTTTGGAGCTTATCAAGATGACAACCTCTTCCAGGATGAGATGAGGTATCTGCGGTCTACATCTGTACCTGCGCCCTACATCTCTGTTACACCTGACGCTTGTCCCAATGTGTTTGAGGAACCAGAGAGTAATATGAAGTCCATGCCCCCAAGGTAAAATAAAAACAAAAAACAATCCCTGTCATGTAGTGAACAAACTCTGCTCATGCCAGAAATTAACATACTCCTTAGACTTGTTCAGATTTTGTCTTATTACAACGACAAACATTGAAGTAATGATGGAAAACATTAATCAGATTGATCAATTATTGAAATAATTATCACCTAATTTGGTAATTAAATCATTCCCTTGAGGTTAAAAGACTAAAAAAGGCAATTTGCTGAACCCCTCTGAGCAGTGATGAAGCTCAAACAGTAAAAAAAAATATGTCAACATTTTTAATTCAAGGTAAAAAAAATCAATGCTCACAACTTTGCATGTTCATTGAAAATGTAAGGACATATGAATTATATTACAGTATGATTCTGTCAGCATTGAATTGAGTTTTGTTTTTATAAGTTTTTGCCATTTTCAATCCATTTAAATAGTCTTCAGGTTTTTCCTAACCTGAAGACGTTATTGAGGGATTTTTACACTGCTCAAAAAAATTAAAGGAACATTTTGAAAACACATCAGATCAAAAAATCATGCTGTTTATTTGTACTGATATGGACTGGGTGATTGGTTAGGAACAAAAGGGCTGATTCAAAGAAACCCCAAAAATTACAGTGAAAAACTTATGCGACAGGCTAGTCCATTTTGCTGAAATTTCATTGCATCAACTCAAAATGGTATCTCCTGGAATCTCCTCCATGCTCTTGAGATTGTGCTGGGAGACGCAGCAAACCTTCTGGCTATGGCACGTATTGATGTGCCATCCTGAAGGAGTTGGACTGCCTGCATAACCTCTGTAGGGTCCAGGTAGCGCCTCATGCTAACAGTAGTGACAGTAAATTGAGCCAAATGCAAAACTGGTGAAAGACAGTCAGAAAAGATGAGGAGGGGTAAAACTGTCAGTGGCCTCCACCTGTAAAACCATTCCTGTTTTGATGGTCATCTCGTTGTTGCCCCTCTAGCGCACCTGTTGTTAATTTCATTAACACCAAAGAGGCTGAAACTGATTAACAACCCCCTCTGCTACTTACCTGACCAAATCAATATCCCAGAAGTTTAATTACCTTGATGCTTTACTTTGATTACAAAGTGATCCTTTAATTCTTTTTGAGTAGTGTATTTTGAATAAATGAATTAGCTGAATTCCTAAAAGATTGCTGCAGCATCAAACTTAATAGCATTCTTGGACTCAGCAAGTTTAACCTTTATAAAAAAAATGTAAAAAAGTAGTAAGAGTAAAGACAAGTGTATTAAGATAGCCTTAAGAAGTCCCATTTTAGTTTGCAAGCATTTAAAAGAACGTTCCTGGGGTCAATTAAAAACCAAAAGGGAACTTTTATGGCATGAATTTTACATCTTCCTGGTAAAACATGGCATGGAGGTTGCAGTGCTATACTATGGGGGGTGATCTTTATCAACAGGAAAGCTGGACAGATTTGATTGGAAAATGAAAATAGAGGATCTTGACTCTTCTCGCCGGACAGGGTCCCTAAATATACAGCCTGAATGTTTAGATCAGGCTTCCTTAATTCTGGTGTCCTGCACCTTTTATATGTGCCTCTGCTTCCACACCTGAATCAAATGGCTGAATTGCCCCTTCGGGATGCAGTCAAGTTCTTCAGAATCCTGCTAATGACCTTGTTACTTGATTGGAATGATCAGAACTCATTCGGACTGAGAACATGTGTGGGAACTTGAAAATGTGCATTATTTATGTTAACAAGTCCAGCCTGAGTTTAAGCTTTAAGCTACAAAACATTGGTGCACAAAGGCTGAAATCACCTGTCAACTACGCTTCCTTAAATACTCTTTCAACTTAATGATTTTAACATTGCAATATGTGAGAGTTCGTTAAGTATTAGTATTTTACAAGACACTGATTTGGTTAGAATCCATCCGTCTCAAAGTACGACTTAATTGAGCCGTTAACAATCCTAAACTGAACCGAAACTTAAGTTGAGGTCTTTCAGGATAGGGTAACCAAGTGCTGCCTTCTGTTTCTTGTTTTCCTTCTAGTCTTGAAACCAGTCCGATTACAGACAGTGACACTGCAAAGCGCACAGTTTTTCAGAGGTCTTACTCTGTTGTGGCCTCAGAGTACGACAAGCAGCATTCACCGTCACCAGCCCGGGTCAAAGCCGTCCCCAGGCGGAGGGTTCATAGCGGAGATGCAGGTAGACTAACACAGGTGGTTTGTTTTGCTCAGACTGAGTTGTAGCGTCTTTTTAACATCACCGCTCCCTTTTCCACATAGAAGTAGGCTCCTCCCTGCTACGGCACCCGTCTCCCGAGCTATCCCGGCTGATCTCTGCTCACGGCTCACTCAGTAAAGGGGAGAGGAATTTCCAGTGGCCTGTTCTGGCTTTTGTTATCCAGCACCACGACCTTGAAGGCCTGGAGGTGGCAATGAAGCATGCTCTGAGAAAGTCTGCCTGCAGGGTGTTTGCCATGGAGGTACTGATGTTGTGGCTGCGAAATCTTCCCTTTTCAAAGCTGAGTCAGATTTGCATCAATTGACCTTTTTTTTTTCTAATTTCTTTTCCCACCAGGCGTTCAACTGGCTGCTGTGCAACGTAATCCAGACCACCTCCCTCCATGACATTCTTTGGCATTTCGTAGCCTCTCTCACACCTTCGCCCTGTGAGCCAGAGGATGAGGAAGATGAGGAGAATAAGGGGAACAAAGAAAATGTTGAGCAGGTAAGACTGGCTTAGAGCTAGGAGCCATGTCATCTTTCTTTTTATCTTTAAAGTTCTCTAATAAGGAGTATCTCCATGCTTTCTTTAGGAAAGAGACCTTGGTGTATGTGAACATCCTCTGTCAGACATTGTGATCGCTGGGGAGGCAGCCCATCCGCTCCCCCACACTTTTCATCGTCTTCTCCAGACAATCTCTGACCTCATGATGTCACTTCCTAGTGGCAGTGCACTGCAGCAGATGGCGCTAAGGTAAATCTCTGGTTCAAGTTGAAATAAGTTGTATTATGATCCTAGACACAAATGTCAAATTTTGTTTTTTGTGTCTTATCTTTAGATGCTGGAGTCTCAAATTTAAACAGTCCGACCACCAGTTCCTCCATCAGAGCAACGTCTTCCATCACATCAACAACATCCTGTCCAAGTCGGACGATGGAGACAGCGAGGAGAGCTTCAACATCAGTGTGCAGTCCGGATACGAAGCAATGAGCCAGGCAAGAACACGCCCAGCTCTAGCCCCTATTGTTCCTCATCCGCTGTGCTTAAAAACCTGCTGGAAATTTGTTGTTGTTTTTTTTACAGGATCTCTGCCTGGTAACCTGCTTGAAGGACCTTACTAGTGTGGTAGACATTAAGACGTCCAGTCGCCCTGCCATGATCGGCAGCCTAACGGATGGCTCCACAGAGACCTTCTGGGAGTCTGGAGATGAGGATAAAAATAAGACCAAAAGCATCACTTTTAGCTGTGTTAAAGGCATAAATGCTACCAAAGTTTCTGTTCACGTGGACAACTCCAGAGACATTGGGGTAAGGAACAACAAACTTGACATTTTGGTGCTAAAAAAATAACAATGTTTTGTTAGATAATATGTAAAATCTGTAGGGTATCTGTAGTGACCAATGATGGAAAAGTAGGGCTTTAGTGGAGATAAAATGGCTAATTGAAGGTTTTTATATTTCCAATGTACTATCCTTTTTTATTGAAATACATTTTTTCAACGTTTTGAATTTAAAACACATGCCTTTAGTAATGAGCAGTTATTTGGGTGTAATAACAGTTTAGTCCCTGTAGATTTTGCAGATTTTTCTAGTTAGTGAACGACACGTCAGTCTTTCTTAAAGAAATGACTGAAACATCAGTCACATTTGTACAGCTTCTGTGAGGAGACTGCTGCCAATTTTCTTGGACCAATTTTTGAGGAATACTGCTGATTAATATTGTACAGATTGAATCCTTCTACCTTGCAGCACCTTTAGAAAGGTGATCTCAATGCTTACATCTAAATATTAATGTGTATTTTGCGTGTATTTTGGTAACGCTTCCACATGAATTTACAGCCAATTTTTTAATTTAATTTCCTTCATCTTTACTCTGATAAAACTGTTCTGGATAAATCCAGACTTTTCCAGTCTGAAGTTTTTACCAATTTAATCTTTCATAACAGGTTTTCAGTTAACAAACACACAATTATTTAAGGAAGAACTAAGCCCTTAAATATATAGTCAAGACTTTATACTTCCAATATCTATTGTTTAAGGTTTTTTTGTACAATAAATCTGTTATTCTCTTCTTTCATGCTGGAGTAGTCCTGATGTACCCTCTGTTTTATGTTACTCTTTATACTAACCCCTTTTTAGAAAAAATAAAAGCAATCTGTAGAATAATGCTAGCATTCTATCTCTCTTCAGATAACTTCAGAACTTTTTTTCATGCAACATTTACCACATATCTCCTGCTTTATCATAATATTTAAAGAAAACGTTTCAGCTACTATCAGTTTTTTACCTGAATTTGACTGTAAAAACCTTTGTAAAAGGTGGAAAATGCTTCTGTACCCATTAATGGAATTGTGTGTCAAGCCTATAAACTAGTTTTGCAAACTATTCCCATGAAAAATAGCCAAGCAGCAGCCTGAACTGCAATAGTGCAAAATATGTGTTATATTATGGTTTTATGTGAATTTGTGTTTTTTTCTCTTATGCAAACAGAACAAAGTCACATCAGTGACATTTCTTTGTGGGAAAGCAATAGAGGACCTCTGCAGAATTAAGCAGGTATGAGCAGTTTACCCATTGAGAAATCATTTTAGAAATATGTCTGCACTCTTAGATGTCGTTCCTTCTCATAAGAAAAACAGATTGGATAAAAACTAAATGATGAGTCCGATTTTTTTTTTTTAACTAAAGGTTGACCTTGACTCGCGCCACATGGGCTGGGTTACGAGTGAGCTCCCTGGAGGCGATTATCATGTGATCAAAGTGGAGCTAAAAGGCCCCGAAAACACTCTGAGGGTTCGTCAAGTCAAGGTTCTTGGCTGGAAGGAGGGCGAGAGCATCAAGATCCTTGGACAGATCTCAGCCAGCATGGCTCAGCAGAAAAACTGTGAGGCCGAGACGCTTCGAGTTTTCCGGCTCATCACCTCACAGGTCAGTCACTGTGGCTCATTTTCAGGTCTTGCAATCGTGTTGCTTCTAGAGTTTACATTTATTTAAAACTGGGTGTGTAAATCTTCTTTACTCTTAGGTTTTTGGCAAGCTCATCTGTGGAGATGCAGAGCCAACCCCAGAGCAGGAGGAGAAAAATCTGCTTTCGTCTCCAGAGGGAGAGGATAAGGTGTGTTGCTATCCAGCTGTTTATAGCTACCTCACCACTTCTATATATTTCCTTATTATTTTGATTATATATATATATTTTGTGAACAGGCACCATCTGATGCAGACCTTAAGGAGCACATGGTGGGAATAATCTTCAGCAGAAGCAAACTAACCAATCTGCAGAAACAAGTAAACAAGAACTGTCAAACCATTAAATAACCATTCATCCCCAGTAAAACGTGGGAAAGCAATCAGAACATCACCAACCAAGTAAATCTGCTGCCTTTTATTTCCAGGTGTGCGCACACATTGTTCAGGCAATCCGCATGGAAGCCACACGTGTTAGGGAGGAGTGGGAGCATGCCATCTCTAGCAAAGAAAACGCCAATTCCCAGCCCAGCGACGACGATGCCTCATCTGACGCCTACTGCTTCGAGCTCCTCTCCATGGTCCTGGCTCTGAGCGGCTCCAATGTGGGCCGCCAATATCTGGCGCAACAGCTCACCCTCATGCAGGACCTGTTTTCTCTCCTGCACACTGCTTCTCCGAGGGTACAGAGACAGGTGGGCATGAACAAAAACACACATATTTTTTTTTCTTTTATTATCCATGTCATTTCTACATATCCTAACACATTGTGAATTTCCACAATGGTATTTCCATGCTTCCACCAGCTGGTGGTTAGGTGAACTGCATCATACGTAGCACTGGTTTGAATCACATGTCGCTTTGTATGTTGGAGAGTAATAAATTAGAAGGGTTGAATCATAGCAAACACTTACTGTCACCTATTAATTTAGCTCTTATATCATTGGGTTACACATGATCCATGATGCCTAAGACCTTGATGTTGCTTTTTATATTTGAACACATTAAAGTTGTTGTATGAAAAGGGGAAGGGGGTTCTGATCACGCATACCCAGTGGTCGAGTTGTAAAAAAAAAAAAAAAAAAAAAAAAGAAGGGGGATGCTAAAATTTTTTTGTTTGTTTTTGGAAGCATACATAGCCTAATTAATATATTATATTAACCTAAAGCACTATGCATGGTATGGTTGTTACATGTCAGGTACGCTGGTCATTGACCTTAACCATGGCACCTTACAGTAGAACTGCAGTCAGTCACTGGACTGGCATGGCTATCACTGCCCCTACATAGTTGGGGACTAATTTCCCACTGTATTGAGCTTCATAGTCATGGTAGGCCTCTTCGTTAATTTTACTTTGGAAAATCTTTTGGCAATGAATATGTTAAGATTTGGAACAAAAACACATAAAAGATTGCAAATGAATATCTGATACTATCAAGTATTTTTGTATTCAAATTCAATTAATTAAGTTCAAACAGCTGAAATAATATTCAAAATCTGAAAAAAAAAGTGCTAACAAATTCAGATACATTAGAATTAGCCTGAAAATGAAATAAGCCTGTATGAAATATAATAATTTTACTCACCTTTCATTCATTTAGAGTATTTATTTTATAAAATAGATTGTTCGTTAGAAAACCAGTATTGCTTCTATTGGCTAATTTAAAGTAAGCTATGCTACATGCTGGTTATGAATGAGTTAAAACTATTCTAACAGGTCCGTCAAACTAAGCTGTTTACCATTGATTGGACAACAGGCATTATCTAGCATCTTATAGCGTCTTTTTGGACAGCCAATAGCGGCCTTTCTTGCTGGGGAGTTGGCAACACTCGTGAAGGGATGAGAGGAGCAGAAAAGAGATGCTATTGAAGAAAAGTTCTAAATTTTGACAAAAAGAGTGTTTAAATATATGAAAAACGTTATAATTAAATTTAAATGGGTCTTCTTACAGTTGACAAAGTTGTTGTTCTCCGTACATCCCATACTGCTGAGTAGGGGTGTAAATCGCATCCATCATGGCGATTCGAATCAGTATCGATTTCCTGAACCAACGATTCGATTCTTTTAAATACTCAAGAAAACACCACGATTCGATTAATCTATTAATTTCTTTTTTTTTTTTTTACACCTTACAGGCTAAACAAAGTTTCAAGTTTGAAATAAATCAATGAAAGCTGTAATATTGTTATGCATTTTTTTTTTTTTTAGAAACAACAGCAAATAACAGAAGTAGAAAAGTTGCATCAAAAAAATACTGCAGAAAATCAGTGCAACACACTGCTGTAAGAGTATAACCAGGAAGCGAGGTAGGAGGGCAAAATAGATTTAGCACCACCGCAGCACTGGAGGGAGAATTACGCCCAGGAGCAAATGGATAAAAATAGACCGGAGGAAAAAAAAAAACATGAACCAATCCCCTGTCGGACATGTCGATACAAAACGATTATTTACACACGTACTGCTGAGTTCTTTCTATATTGTGGCATTTTGAAACAATTTTTTCAAGTAAGAGCCAGCACCATTGCAGCCACGCAAAATTCTGCAGGCAACTGTTAGGACAGCTCAGTGACAGCACTAGGGGGATATTTCATAATTGGGATATTAAAAAGATATAGTTTTGACTAGTTCAAATTAACTGAAATGCCTTTGATTATAATTCCGGATGTGTGAAACTTTAAATGACAAATCAGATTATGTAATTTAAGATATCTCAAAATGCATTTTGACTCTCCAAAATGTGATTAAAGACATCTTGAATTGTTATTTTTCCTTAGACATAGTATATAATTATAAATTAAGGGCAGTCAAAATTTAGTAAATAATATTTGTCTATTCTATTAAAATCTCTATCGCTATAATGGGTCTGTATTATGAGTTGTTTCAGAGGGCCCCATGCCTGTCTTTGCCTAGGGCCCCAAATTTCCTAAATCCGCCCCTGCTTCGATTCTCTCCTCCGGGTTTCATCTGTTGTGCCGAGAAATACCTCCCGTCACGGGAGTGCGCATCACCCTAAGCTCACGCCCATTGGTGAGAAAATGGATTTAAATACGAACGAAAAGGGAATTTTTTAAACATATTCTTAATGTTTTCATATTTCTTATACATGGATGCCTTAAAATTGATAGTTTTGTTGGAGAGATAAATTCAAATTAATAGGATTTTACTTGTATGGAGACACGTTTCAGTCGATGTGCTACAGTCAGTGTGCAATGAATAAATTCTCTGCTCAGTGGATGCCAATTACCGATTTTGTTATCAACACCATTCTAGATCATTTCTGACACTTTATTTGTTTAAACTTAGAACCTGGAACCCGAGGAAGATTCCCTCCCCTCCTTATTTTCACATTCCCCCAAATCGTGTTGTCTTTGACGCTTGGCTGTGATGCTGTTCAGAACAGCGCAGGCTGTGATCTACTCGCAGCCTGCCAAATGTTGAATGGGCAACATTATTGCCATTATTGTTAATATATGATCGAAGCTAACACATTTAGTGATAAAATGTCAAAGAGGATGGTATGGGGGAATGGTCATTTTAGAAGGGGGAGGATTTTTAAGACTTTTTAAGAAGGGGGGTGCCATCCCCCTTCATCCCCCCTCAACTCGAGTACTGCTCATACCTTTGAGTCTGTTTTTTTTGGTTTAATATTATTACTTTATGCATTATGGAGGCAGCTGTCTTTCACTGAAGGATGTTTCCGTGATGTAACCGTGTCATTCATAGGGTAGTAAATAGAGCTGGTCTTCCTGATCAACCCTAACAACCTAATTCTCTTAATAAGCTGATGACCACACCATATATATAATTGTTGATGCCATAACAGTATCAAAAAAGGACTCTGGTATCAAATAGCAGCGAAACATTGGGCCTTAACTTTCTCTATTTATTTCCTATCGTGGTCTCCTAAGTGTGCGCCACATCAGATTCAATAAACACTCTTAACTTCAGACAACTTTGTACATAATCCTCGCTAATATGATGCAGTCCACCCTGTGCATAAGTGAGGGCATTGATGAGATTTTAAAACCTGCATAATTACAGCCCCTATAATTACATTTAACGCTATGACATCCAGCGCTTTTCAGACGGTGTTCATTCATCTTGAAAATGAAGAGGAGCGACTTTAGCAGTTTGAAGATCGAGGTTCTACTGACTGAGAGCTATAAAAAGCACTTGCAAACAGAATCACATTATTGAATCATATCAGTGGTTGAGGGTTTGAATTTAAGGGAGCATAATGCTTTATAGGTGTTCAAGACTCGTCTGCTTTATCGTTTTTATAAAAAAAAAAGGTCCAACCCCATCCACTCTTTGCTCAAATTCCCATTGCAAATTCATACTCAATCATAAGCTTAAATCCACCTTGCCTACTAGCTATGAACATTTAGCGAATTACCTTTCTCGTCTCAGGTGACGTCTTTGCTCCGACGCGTCCTACCCGAAGTGACGCCAGTCCGCCTCGCCAGCATCATAGGAGTGAAGGCTCTCCCCCCAGCAGACATCAGCGACATTATCCACTCCACAGAGAAGGGCGACTGGAACAAGCTCTGCATCCTCGACATGTTCCTGGGCTGCATCGCCAAGGCCCTCACCGTGCAGCTTAAAGCCAAAGGCACCACCATCTCCGGGACGGGCGGCACCGTTGCCGGAAAGGGTGTCACAACCGTCACTCTTCCCATGATCTTTAACTCCAGGTACGCGGTTTTCTGGTAAATTATAAGTAACCTTACTTAGCAGTGCTTTTTTGTTTAATTCTTTCCGTTTTCATCCTCTGCTTTTGCACTCAGCTACATCCGCAGAGGTGAGAGCCATTGGTGGATGAAAGGGTCCACGCCTCCACAGATCGCTGAGATCATCATAAAGCTGGTCAAAGATATGGCAGCTGTGAGTGTTTGCTTCTCTCAGTTCTGGTTTTGTATTAAATTCATTGCACCGATTGAACTAATACACATTATTGTTGCTAGGGCCACCTGTCAGATGCCTGGTCCAGGGTGACCAAAAATGCAATTGCAGAGACCATCATTGCTCTGACTAAAATGGAGGAGGAGCACCGCTCTCCTGTTCGCTGTATAGCAACAACAAGGGTAAGAAAGCTAAAAAAAAGCCTAAACTAGTGATTATTTATGGTGCTGTAATCATTTACTCCTGTTTTTCCTCAGCTGTGGCTGGCCTTGGCATCGTTGTGCGTGCTGGACCAGGACCACGTCGACCGGCTTTCGTCCGGTCGCTGGATGGGTAAAGACGGACAGCAGAAGCAGATGGTGAGAGAGTTATAAATAAGATCTAGTGTGTGTGAAGCTAATGGAGAGGGTAATAATGTATTCCCTTCTCTGCCACCTACAGCCCATGTGTGACAATCATGACGACGGCGAAACAGCAGCGATCATCCTGTGTAACATATGCGGCAACCTTTGCACCGACTGCGACCGCTTCCTTCATCTGCACCGACGCACTCGCTCCCACCAGAGACAGGTTGGTTAGAAGTTTGCATTAATGTTTGCATATTTAGATTTTTCTTCGTGAACAATAGTATAAGTATAAATGGGATGTTTTAAATGTTTCTGCTTTTAATGCTAAGCGTTTACTAGGTGGCCATCTTGTTAGCTGGTCGTTTTCAGCATTGTGTTCCACTGTGCTTCAGGTGTTTAAGGAGGAAGAGGAGGCAATTAAAGTTGACCTCCATGAAGGGTGTGGGAGAACCAAGCTCTTCTGGCTTATGGCTCTGGCTGATTCCAAGACGATGAAGGCCATGGTGGAGTTCAGAGAGCACACGGGTAACCTGGCATATTAATCCCTGAAGAAACTTCAATGACAAAAGTTCTCAAACTTTTCCTTGCTGATTTTATGTCTTTCTCCTGCTTGCATATTAAATATTTTTGCAGGTAAACCAGCATCCAGCAGCTCAGACGCCTGCAGGTTCTGTGGTACTAGAAATGGAACCGAGCTGTCTGCAGTGGGGAGCGTCTGCTCAGACCCAGACTGTCAGGTGTGAAGCATCCACTTAACTTAATCATTCGCCTAGGCAACCATTGCCAAAATACCAAATAAAAAAACAATCACTTTGTTTTATTGCTTTCAATATAAGTTATAGTACAGATAAGGAATATAGTTTAACTGTCTTTTTTTCCTAAAATATGAAGATTTTCTGATTGGAAAGAAAACATTAAAACAAACATATTTTGAAAAGTAAGTAAATTTAACTGCTTTTTATCAGTTTTACCCTTTAAACGATATCGCAAGGCACAGGCATAGGTTTTCATAGGGACCATAGGAAAATAATACGATGTGACCTGCCTATAACCTGTATATAATTTACAATACAACATTGTTGCTGCAGTTGTCGCTGATGCTGCTCCGTTGACTGCCGGCATTGTCTTTTCCATCTCTTTAAATCAGCAGAAAAAAACAACTAAATCCTGAAACAACAGAGAGATTTTTACCATACTTGGGTAAACCTTGACAAACAGCATATTGTGTGTGTAGTGCTCATGCAATTTGTATTAATATAGCCAGAAATGCTGCTTTTCTCTTTAGACCAAACAGATGTGACCTGGTGGTCAAGTCAAGCATCAATAAAGAGTTAAAAAGTTAAATTCACTTCAAATGTATGTAACATGCCAACCTTACTCTACCTTAAACATGTGGATTTTTATTTCTAAATGACAGCTGATATGTATTAATAGTATTCAGTTAACATGCAATCTTAATTTTGGAACCGATATGCCTGGTACCTTGGATGTATTGAATAAATCAGACCAATGCCTATAAAAAGGTAAACATTTCTGCTGTTCAAGAAATGTTTAACCTAATGTAACCCAACTATAGACAGTGTATTAAAGGGAAGCGTCCCTGAGTTATTTACTAACCCAACAGGCAGTAATTTCCAGTGTAAATACTTCAATATATATATTGATATATTGCTTTCTGCTGAAGGATTCTATAATATGTAACTATTCACTATTTATCATAGAAAACATTGATACCATTAAACAGAGAAATAACCAGACCAATATGAATTTAGCAAATTAGAATTTAATGGGCTAACAAATTCTTCTTGAAACAAATTCATGTCATATTTGCCATTCATTTTCAGTATCCACAATGCATTTGTCAGACCTTATGTAAGTGGGGGCAAACTCAACATACACTCTCACACACTTAGGCTGGCTAACTTTAACTTGAAGGTCATTGTTGCAGACCTAAGTGGTGCTTGGGAGCGCAGACACCACAGATTTATCAGTCGCTTTGCTCAAAGAGCAACAAAGCCAAGTTTTAGATCTTATCATTTTCCAGAGCTCAGACTTAAATTGACATCTCCAAGACTCATCATGAAGGAGGAAGGCCACGGCTTGTCCCATAATGGCAGAGTGGTCACATCCCCCCTGGTCCTCACTTCTGATTCTATACTCCCTGCAGGACTTTGGAACAGGTCCATTATTGGCTATTGGGTTAAAAACCAGGAATTTCGTTTAAAAAGCTTAAAACATGATTTTGCCACATCTTTTTTTTTTTCCCTCTTCATTCAAACTAGTGTTGGTTATCACAACTACATCTGATTTCACAGATAGCCTAAAGCTATTAAAAAAACAGACCAGGGAAAGTGGTGTACAAATACTACTTCCTGTTAACCCTTCAGAATAAAGCTACTGAAAGTCCATCGATGTGTTCACAGTGAACATTTTTAACTCTTCTCCAGGTACTTTTAAGCATTAAGCTTTGGATGAAACATTTTTAACTGGTTTAAATGTTTTTAATGAAATGAACAACCATTTAATTTTTAATAAATGTATTTATACTTTAATTTGGTAACACTAATATTCTCAAAGATAGGACTTTCTTCAATATTGCAACCAATGCACTTATAGATGTATTAGATTGAGTCTTTAGTTTAAGGGGAACTAAGGGCTGCTTGGGTTATAGTTGTCCTGTTTTGCAGCAAACAGCCTGAAAATGTTCCTGAAACGTTTCATAGTTAAAGATAACAAGTAGAAAATTGGCTTTTCCTCTTCTCATTAAACTCTGTCAAACATATAATTATTCTGTAAAGAGCTTTACACTAAACCAAATAAAGACTTTCATTATATTTCCTAAGCCTCACCTTCTCCTTTCCTGTCAACCCTCCCAGGAGTACGCTAAGCTGGCCTGCAGTAAGACTCATCCCTGCGGACACCCCTGTGGGGGAGTGAAAAACGAGGAGACGTGCCTGCCGTGTCTGCACGGCTGCGACAAGAACGCCGGCTGCCTTAAACAGGATGCAGACGACATGTGTATGATCTGCTTTACAGAGGCTCTCTCTGCTGCTCCTGCTGTACAGGTACCTCTGAGTTTCCTTTTGATACTTACTGGCCCAATGAGCTGCTTGTTTATATTTGAGTTGTCTGTTCTGTTTGCAGCTGGACTGCACTCACGTGTTTCACCTTCAGTGCACTCGCCGCGTTCTTGAAAACCGCTGGCTTGGGCCTCGTATCACATTTGGCTTCATGCTGTGTCCCATTTGCAAGGTACTACAAATTCTTTGGGTTTGGCTTTGTTAAGAATATTACTCATCGTTTTCTTTGGTCTGCTTGCAAGATATTTTACAAAGAGATTCAATTAACTGTTTCTTGTGTTCTTCCCTGCAGAACAAAATCAATCACTCTGTGATCAAAGACCTCCTGGATCCCATTAAGGAGCTTTATGAGGATGTGAGGAGGAAAGCTCTGATGAGGCTGGAGTATGAAGGCTTACACAAGAGTGAGGCCATCACCACACCCGGTGCACGCTTCCACAATGACCCTGCAGGCTTTGCAATGAACAGATATGCCTACTATGTCTGCTACAAGTGCAAAAAGGTCCAAAATGACTGGCATGCAGAAGCTTTTTGCCACATGTTTATAATGGATTGTAAATCAACAGTCTCCTCTCTTGTAGGCGTATTTTGGAGGAGAAGCTCGCTGTGATGCAGAAGCAGGGCAAGGTGATGACTATGACCCCAGCGAACTGATCTGTGGAGCATGCTCAGATGTCTCTAGAGCTCAGGTGAGTAAATGATACCTGGAGGGATCCTAGCTTTGTGACAGCTTGTCTGATGTTTGAAATTTGTTACAAGACAAATCTGTTTGCTTTAAATCAAATACTAATCACCACTCTGCTTCCTCTCCTATCTACTTTGGGCAGATGTGCTCCAAACATGGCACAGATTTTCTGGAGTATAAATGCCGGTACTGCTGCTCTGTGGCTGTTTTCTTCTGCTTTGGAACCACACACTTCTGTAATGCCTGCCATGATGACTTCCAGAGAATGACCAGCGTTCCTAAAGAGGAGCTCCCTCGTTGTCCTGCAGGTGAGTGAATTGTTTGTCTAGAAAATGGGTCTGCAAACTTTCAAATCCAAAGCACTATTATACTCTACGTCCAGCTAAATAAGTCATTTAGAGCTGCAAATAATACATGAACTTTTAATAAAACACAACTTAATTTAAACATCTTTAAGTTTTAGTTTTTTTAGGTTTTTAGAATAAGAAAAAAAACAGAAAATGTTAAATGAAGAAGAAGCATGGCTCTTTTTTCCTATGGAATATTCTTTGAGGAAAATTATGTTACTTATTTTTCAAGCTAATGACAAAAAAAATGATTTAAAAACATATTTCTGATTTTTTTTTTTTATGTCATTCTGATGTAAAATTTCAATTCAAATATTTAAAACACCTGAAGCTTATAAACTGGTATTTTAGTATATTCAAAACTATTTCTTATTTCATAATTTTTAACCACTATAAAGAGCCATTTTAGAGGGTCCAAAGAGCCACTCCTCATATTAACAACTAAAGCATTTAATAGACTTTTTTTTGGGGACAACAAATGACTAAACAGGGAAAATATCTTAGTTTTTGTATTCTATAGATTTTCTGCCATTCAGGTTATCTTTAAAACCTCATCTTTATTTCTAACACTTAGCATTAGAAGCTAAACAGTTGGTCTTTGGTAAAACTACTGTCTCCTTGTTATAGGACCCAAGGGCAAGCAGCTGGAAGGCACAGAGTGCCCTTTGCATGTGGTCCACCCCCCGACAGGTGAAGAATTTGCTCTGGGCTGTGGAGTGTGCAGGAATGCCCACACCTTCTAAACTTTTGAGGGACTCGCTGAAAACCAGTCGGTCCACTGTGATGTTAATCGCTGCCGCCGCTGCTGCTGCAGAGGAAGAGGCTCAGCGACGAAGCTGAGCTCTGGCTTTGAGTCTCCTGGACAACGGACCAGGTTCCCGCTCCACGCCGCGAGTCGTCAGGTCTACTCTATCACCAACAGCAGGATCCAGGCTCTGCTACGAGCACAAGCTGCTCCTCTTTTGGATTCAGAGCAAACTTAATAATAAAATCCCTTTTTTTTTTTTTTAAAGAAAATCTGAAAAAGAAGAATGGAAAAAAAAAAAAGAAAATAATTTGTGACGTGTTTGCATGCAGCCGTTGTAATCCCTCGGCTTCTATAGACGTTGCACACCTCCCGATCACTGAACTGTAACCATGTAACATTGAAGATTAAATAAATTTGCTTAAACGCGACAGGATGAACGTGAGTTTAAAAAGAGTGGGGGGAAAAGAAAAAAAAAAAAAAGGAAGGGGCCATATTTCCAGCTTCCGTACAATAAATTTAAACCATTGTTGTATGTAAACTCTTTTCGTAATCTTGTACAGTATTCCCCACTGTCAAGTGCATCATTGGTCGACGGGCAACAAAAAGGTGAGTTGACTGTTAAGAATATCACTTTCCGGTTGGAAATAGTGTACGATTTATCTAATCTTGTACATAGCGATACTATTTCAAGTAGCTGTATTCCGAAGTTGCTCTCTTCACTTCAGTTTTGTTCGGTATTCTGGGTTTTGTTTTGAGCCAGAACTTTTAATGAAGTGCAATACTGGGTGTGCCTCCTATTTTGCAGCTGTTTAATCTATGGAATGTATGTCAAATAAAACCACTGTACATTTTTATACAGTGCCCCCTTCTCTTCTATTACTGTCTGAAAAAGAGGAGCCTGGCACTTGCAGTGAAAGATGGAGGATGTACATTTTGTTTTGCAGCTCTGATAAAAGCATCAAAATCCTATATAAATAAAAGAATTAAAAAAAAGTCTATGGGAGTGGTTACAGCTGAAGGATTTAAGGGTCCAGTCTTTACACCAAATACAATCTTTCACCTGAATGCTTTTTCCTAGTATGCGTCAGGGAGATTTGGAGGACAAAGTGGTGGGGGATAGAAAAGAAAAAAAGAAGCTGCTGTTAAATAAAAAGCTTATTGTGAATCTGCTCTGTAATATCTGTGGTGGATGGAGTTGAATGGTAATAAACCAGATTCTCTGTTTCACAAATTATACAATGTGTCATTGGTTTTTCATTCCTGATCCCCCCCCATAAAAACTGTTTCTGAACCTTGCGTGGCTTTAAGAAACTTTGACTTGAGTGCTACAAATGTTAGGACATTTAACCTTTGTTTCCAGTCTGCCGCAAAAAAGATAAGTGTTAAAAAAAAATGAAAAACTGTCCACATGACTTTAAGTTTTAATTCAGGTTAGCAGGTAGCTTTCAGGAAAATAGTTATCCATATAAGTATCAGCAAAGAGACCTTTTGCAATTTTTAGCCCTCTTTAAAGAGGTTTGATGTACTTTTTTCTACAAGTATGTAAGCAGTTTACTGCTTCACTGAAAAAAATCGCCATGTAACATAATTTTTGGAGAATTCCCAGTTATGAAATGTAAGGTAATTTCTACTTTTTACATATTATCAAACATTTTTGATATTTTAATTACAATTTGCATTCAGACTTATAATCTCATAATTTAGAGATTATTTGGGATAAATGGTGCTTCCATAGAAGCACCATATAGAGAGCGTTCTGACCAGCTGTCTCTCTGTGTGGTGTGGAGGCTGCAGCACCTCAGACTGGAAAAGAGAAAAGTGGTAAGAACAGCAGAGAGGATCATCAGGGCTCCTTTTCCCCCATTAAATACATTTCATCCAAGTGCTGTGTGTCCCAATGCGTAACATCATCAATGACCCCTCACACACCCACCATGGACTGTTCTCCCTGCTGCCCTCTGGGAAGAGACTTTGAAGCATCTGATGCAGGCCCAGCAGATTCTGCAACAGCTCCTTCCCCACTCCCATCAGACTGCTGAACTGTTGAGAAAACTCTAAATCATGTCACAGACTCTGTATCAAACTGAGAACACCAAACCAGAAATACTGCACATTTACATTGTATATTAATGCTCTGAACTTCCATATCAATGCGTTTTTGTACCATTTTTTTTTTTTTTTTTTATTATTCCCAAACTGTTAACATTTGATCACTGATGCACTTTATGGAATGGAAAAGTTCTGAAAGCAGTACAAAACGAAATTAAGTTTTGTATATACTATTTGTATACAACATGACAGAGTTGTCTAAGTATAAGAACAATTTAAAGTCTCAAAATTGTGATTAAACGTCAAAAAGACCGTCTTAACGTTTGAACAAACCACATAAGTGGTTTGCAATCAAAAAATTCATAAATATAATCTTCAATTAATATATCTATATATGTATGTATATGTGTATAT